GATGTGGAAGAGCGATCGTTCGGTAATTCCCGTAATTTCCACTGACGTACGTACGCTCGCGCCTTGTGCAGAGTTCACTCAAGGAATGATCCTGCCTGCCAAGGATGGTGCTCCAGCAGAGAAGGACAACGGAGTTCAGGCCCCAAAGCTCAAACTGGACCCAGTGAAGAAGCAGGTATTGGGATTTCCTGACTTCTCCAAAGTCAGGGGGTCACAAGTTGGCAGGAAGGAGGAGGGTGACCATACAAAAGTGCCTTAGTCAAAGTCGCCACGAAGCTTGAAACTTTACTGCATGAAACCTTGGCCCCTGTCAGGACTTCAACAACCCTGTACGTATAAAAACAATAGGGTTGTAATATCTTAAGTCGTGAACAACAATCAAATATAAAAGCGCGTGAATGTTATACTTCATCATCAGTGGATGTGCCAAATGAAACGTTAATCTCTTGTTGGTGTTGAATGTTTCCAAAGGGAGCAGATGGTGGTGGGTCCATCCCAAAGGGGCCGGGCAACGGCGGGAAGTTCGAGACTTGCCGCGTGAACCTGAGCGAGACCTTCACCACCTCGCCCATGGACCTCTTCCAGGTCTTTGTGCGCCAGGAGGTATGGTCTAGCACTACTCGCGGTTAGCGCGCTGCACTACGCAACTCACCCGGTGACCCGAGTTCCATTCCCGCTCACGGCCAACACAAGCCACGATTATCTGAACCGGTCCTGGGACTCCCCTAGGTTGAGTCAGCCTCAAATGAGTACCGGGTGTGCTGCGTAAACTTCGCCGCTGGGGAGACAAAGGCAGTCAGGCGTGGTGCTGGCCACTCATCCATTAGTGCGCTGTGCTGGCCTTCATAGGTGCTCGCTAAAAGCACTTGCTCAACATCTAAGGTTATACAGGGGATCTTTGTCTTTGTGAAGTCCTGAACCGATGGAGTTCCATAAAGCAGTGCGCTTGAATTGTAGAGAATTACAAAGGATATTTAAAAGTTGTATTTTTATTGTCATTGACAGGACAACTAATGTTATTGGATTTGACAGTCGCTTTGTGTCTAAATGGTTACATTAAATGGTAACTCTTACACCAGCTGATTAGAAGAAATAATGTTGATGTGAATCGTAATGATCTGTGGCTGGTGCTGAGTGGATGTGTGTGTGCGTTTGACATTTCAGAGGCCAGACTGGTGGATGTAAGTGAAGGGCCATTACCTAAAACATTGTTATATGTTTCCATTTAAGGGCATTATTGGCGTATGTGAGATTTGTTATTTGTGTACCACTGCCAGCATATTACAAATTATTAAAACTTGAGTCTGTCTTGTGACATCCTGTCAGTGAGTCATCGACACTTCCTATAGCCTCAAAGTAGACCTTGGCTCCATAAGAGGTTTTTTGGGTTGGATCGCGTAAATATATAAATGTGTCGTTAAACCCGCCACCACCCGACACAGCCAACTAGTAAGGGTTGTCACGTAAACAGAACGTGGCCAATTCGTCACTTGTACAGCACTCCAGTGTGTTGGAGAGCCAAGCCACAATGTTTACAATTTGAGTACGACGTTTCGCCAGGTAATTACAACGAGCTTCATCAGGCGACAGCCAGATTTGTGGAGAAGTTCACCTGTTTCGCTCCTTATATAGAGGCGTAGATGTGGTTACAAAACGTCTGCGCTCTTGAGTCAACGTACATTATGCATGAGCATTATGCGGACCCATTGATCTTGTCCTTCCTGTCCATTGTGTGTATTAAAATGGCCGTACCAACAGTAATCGCTATTGAAGTATGGTGGCCTGTATAGGCATGCATTTAAACAATGTATTATTGTACCTCGGCTGGCACGAGTGCTGTGGTGACGTCACTCCCAGTGGCTAATGGCAGCTGATGCTGTATGTGGGGTGTTGCAGTGACGAGATGTTAACTCCCTCGCCTGGGGTGCAGGAGGTCGTGGGTTTGATTCCGACCTCCGGGTCCTCAGGTTTTTCCCTCCACATTTAGAAACATGCATTTAGAGTATTTGGCTGCTCTACATTTTCATATAAGCCACTTTATTGAGCTATCATTTGTGGCGAGGTCACTCCTGTAAAAGAGCTATATAGCTGTGTCAGCCTTACCTGGTAAAATAATAAAAAATGCATGTGCTTGTGGGGAGTGGTAGTGTAGTGGTAAGTGCGCTGCATTACAAACCCAGTGATCCAAGTTTGATTCGCGCGCACAGCCACTAACGACTTACCTAAACCAGTCATGAACCTCCCATAGGTCGACTCAGCCTCAGCTGAGTACCTGGTGCCGTGTGTAAACATCACCAAAAGGGAGACAAAGGTGGACATAGTGCTGGCCACCAAACCTCCTGGCGTGCGATACCGACGGGAATTGGTGCTGCTCGCTAACAGCACTTGCCCCAAAAGTCTGTTGAGGCTATATGACGGATCTTTGCATTGTGCTTTGCAGCTTGTGCAGGCATTCACACGTGCACCCGCTGAGGTGGATCCCAAGCCTGGCGGAAAGTTCAGTCTGCTCAACGGGAATGTCAGCGGTTACTATGTGCAGCTGGTACGCGGTTCTAGAGAACATTGCACTCACCAGAGTGGAAACACTCTTACCCTTGAACTCAACAACACTCGTCACACGCATCCTGCCAGCAGTTCGTATTTTTGTTATGACCAAATTCACTTTTAAACGGTCACTGCGTTGCACGCTTTCAGATGCGGTTCTGTGGCCGTCTGGAACGCTCTTCCAATATTCAGAGGCCATTGAAAACTAATTTCTTTAAAACTGCTTTTTGTGTGTAGTTTGTTGTCCTTCCCCCGCACCTCCGATTAGCGCGGTTGGCTGCGTACGGTGCGAGAGTTCAAACATACATATTTCTGCGAATGTTGTAATGGCCTCGGTTGGATAACCCTGGCTGTAGCAGTTGCGTTATGCTTTTTGTCACTTTCCAGGTCCCCAACGAGAGGATAGTGATGAAGTGGCGGTACAGGACGTGGCCAGCTGGTGGGTGACGGAATGGGCGCTGTTCTATGTTTAACCCGACGTCGTTATCTTTAGCGCCTAGTGTGCAGTATCATGGTCTAAAATAGGAAGACCACTTGCGTCCAATTTTCACATTGAATATTAATATTGTTGTACCTTAAAATAATAGGCACACTCAAGTGACGCATGCGTGTTTCCTAGTCGGCACAAAAACCTAAAAGGTAAATGCGTGTTTAAATAGTTAATTTTAAAGGGTTTGATATTCTGACAATATGGGCACTGCAGTTTTTCAATGCAAGGCTGAGTCAGATACCAGTGTTCACAAGGCCAAAAGTAGATTATTTTGGCCTAAATTAGTTTGATATTTTGTTGGACCAACCACTATCTTTTATCTAAATCTGTTGACATTTACAAAAGTATCCATGTGCAAACTCGTCATTAAAGATGAAGCAAATGAATGGATTCCGCCGTGTACAAATAGTACATGACGAATGCTAACCAGTTCTTTTAGCACAGGATGGGCATGTAAGGATTCAAACTGCTTCATAATTGTCCTGATTTGGGACCAGTAACAAACACCTACTGGAGGTGAATCAATGCGTGAGCCGACGTGTCCATTTCCCAACAACAGGCGTGTGCGTTTCAAAAAATAAGATTCTTGCAAGCAAATTTCGATGCACTTTATGGCGAGCGCAGAATGTTTTAATTGACGAATAGGATGTGTCGTACACGCTTCACAGCGCGAGCGTCAATGTAAAGCACAGCGCCTTCCATGCTTGTGCGCTGGCCATGGATGACGGTTGCTGTCGCTGCTGTGCGGACTTGCGCGAGCAGAGCACCACGCAGACGTGACCCTGGTGCTCACCGACAAGGGGGTGGAGACGGAGCTGGCGCTGTGCTGCGTGGGCGTGCCCACCAATGAGGAGGAGTTGACCCGTGATGGCTGGCGCCGCTACTACTTTGAAGGCATCAAGATGACCTTTGGTTACGGGGCCCGGCTCTACTAACTTTGACACCACGGGCTACGAATGAGGGATGCGTGCAGCCGAACGTGAACTATGAACACGACAGAACGTCCATCACACACGCAGGTTCATTTAGTGCAAGACTGCTGCTAAATGAGATGTGGAGCACAAGCGGATGGAGATGAAGCTACATTGCCACCGTCGGCTTTACTAAATGCCACCTAACTGAAAAGAAATGCTACGTAATAAATGGTTCAAACAGCAGACCATAGCACAGGCGCTGTTGGTAATGAATGCAGCGTTTGGCAATGACGATGGCCGTTTCAAATTTTACACTGCCAAAGCAGTTGTCCAGGTTCTAAATTAAATTGATCCAGCAAAATTGTCATGCCTCAAAGAAGTCAATGATGTCCCACATCTGATTTATGCAGTATTTAGCTTTTTCATTTTATGTATTCAGATGTTTCGCATATCGGTCAATTTCATATCTTAGGAAAAACAATGGTTGCCCCTAAGCTATAAAAAGCATGACTTGCATTGGACCTTTGGAGTTTGGAGCAGATCTCCGTGTGGAGGAAGATTCAACCGAAGTATTTGTATACAAACCTAGGCTGTGTCCAGCAAACAAGTTTGAAGCTTCGATGAGCATAAAGACTTGCATTTAAGAACTTGAGCCCTGTTTTTGTTCCAATGTCACTGCAGCGCTATTCTTAAATATACACCACTCAAGTGCTCCAGTGACTTAAAATCATTACATTATCTTTGTGAAGCTTCAAACTTGTGTTGAAAAGCAAGTGAAATGGGCTCCAAGGTCGGTATCTACAAGGCCAGAGCGATTTGTTGGGGTTTGCTTTAACACTGGCAGATGATGAACAGGAAAAAAGTACTTCAGGATTTGTGCATTTACTATGAAACAAAGTATCCCTGTTTGTTAGTCTGTTGTACATAATGTTTAAGCAAACAACTGAGGTTTTCTACTGCAGTAGAAGGAATATTTATGGTGTTTGGATCATGATGCTTGGCTAACATTACCACGTGTGAAATTTGGAAATAATCAACAAATAAAGGCTGTGTACAAATTTATCTTTAAAGGGTCATTTTTATTTCCACGAGAGGAAACATTATCAAACACCACGTCATTTAAAAAAAGGATTCTTAACAGAATCAATTTACCTGTGGTTGGTATATTTACAGAAGCTCACAGGACAAGGATTTTTGTCTACAGGAGGTGCACATAGAAATCATCTTGTACTGTTGGCAACGGTTAAAAACAAACCAAAGGAAAAATATTGGGGTAATTTTAACACATGAAAACTGTGCACAAAAACCAGGCCATTGAAGCATAATTTAAAAACAAAACACGTAATATGCGTGAGCAAAGCAGAGACCAAATAAAATGTTCGTGTTTTCTCTACTCACCCACGTTTAGTTGGGCCCAACCACGTAAGCACCACTACATTAGTACTGTTTTAATAGTAAACACTGATCTATTCACACACACAAACGCACAACAACAGCCTGCCACGTCCAACATTAAAAGGGGCCCACCGCAGACACCAGGCTGTGATGCGTGTTGCACAGGAACAGCCAAGAGGGGGGAGAGCGCACTTCAGAATTTCTCTGCAAGAGTGAAACCAGAGTCCGATGAGATATGCCCACGTTACCCACAAAGTAACGAGCCCGTGGCCTGTCAGGAGGTGGACTTGAGGATTTTTCCTACGATGGCAATGGCTGACTCGATGGTCCGGCAAAGCGCCTCCAGCGGGTCGGGCTGTCGCGTGGGGCTGGGGCTGCCTCTGGAATGGCTGCGGGTTTCGCTCGCCATTGCCGACTCGTCGCTGTTCTGCCGCGCCGTCACATCGCTGCAGTTTGCCTCGTCGCCTTGCCCATGCGCTGCAGAGGTGCTGGAGGTGGCGGAAGTGGCCATGACATCCGAAGGTCCATCTGCAAGCTTTGCCGCTCCCTCGCCAGGAGAGACCTCGGTCTTCGCGCCGCTGTCCTCCACAGCTACCTCGCCGCCGCCGCCGCTGCCATCGGCGTGCGCCGCTCTCGGGGAGTCTAAGCGTTCCGTGTCGGCCGGCCTGAACGATTCCCCGTGTTCGCCCTGCGCTGCGTCTGCCAGAGGCGCGTCCTTCCTGGTGGCCGCACCGCCCTGTGCCTCCATCTCTTCGCTTTGGTTGCCGTCCTCCCCGCCAGTCGCTGGAGAAGTACCAGCCGGCGTGCGGTTCGCCTCCGAGGGTGCGGGCACATGCTCGGGGGCCAGGGGGCCATCGTCCTGTTCCGTGCCGGGGTCGATGAGCGCCGACTCGCGACTCTCTTCAGTCTCGGCGCCGCTTGGGCTCGCCGGGGAGATGGGACCTTTGGCGAGGTCGGCGTCGGCCGAACCGCTGCTGTCCCGGCTCACTCTCCGCCGCTTGTGCGGGGTGACCCCCTCCTCGTCCGAGCTCAGGCCTGTCCGCACGGCGCATATGCGACATCATATTATTTACTATTGGAGAAAACAATTATTGTAGGCGAACTAAAATGAACTAGAAAGTTATCCAATGTCTTCAGGATTTGCAACTTTGAGCAATGAGCAGCGAGTAAAACTTTAGTGCGACAACTGGGTTCTTATATAAACACCGGCCTTGTTTTGTTCATTTTGCTCTTCATTAATTCACAACCATTTCAAACTCTAACCTTTACCGCTATCATGTACGAAAATACATGTTTGTGTTATACATTGGTATTTCATTATAAGACCTGACTATGCAGTGTCAGTCGTGCGAGTTTAACCATACGTCACCACACTGGTCAGTGTGAAATAGTGAAAGGGGGGCCCAGTACTGATTCAGCTATCACTCACCACTAATATTAGCCATGGCTAGGAATCAAAATTAGGTCGCCAGCTTCACAGTGTACTGCGCACACCACTGTCCCACAGCTCGACTTCATGTTACATCATCCACACTGAATCAGAGAGTACCAAATTCCAGGTGTGTGGCAACCGCAGCCACAGCATTACACAAGTCGCATTAAAGTACATGCCAACACGTTTTTCACAAACAGCATATCTTTCATATTTGAAGACATTGCGTAAAAGCAGTAAAGCAAACGTCAGCCTAAATTAAAATCTAATTCGTAATTTCACATATAGCCAATTAACTACATTTCCATCCAGTAAAGTTGTAGTCACACAGGTCTCACACGGCCCTGCAACTACGCCACTGCACGTGTAGATTGTGAAGGTATGCGAGTGAGCTCATTGAAAGCCTCCACTCTGGTTTGTACCCCCATCAAGACATCCTCCTGTCTCTTAAGGCCACGATACACCAGGACAATTGTAGGGAAAAACTAGCCAGCAAACACAACTTGTAACGTTTGCAGCACCGTTTTTTTAATTGTAAAATAAGTAGTTGCTCAATTATGGATCGTTTCTACCCCCAGTGGGCAAAGGGATGGCAGCTTCCAATCAGACAGAAGGTTACCGATAATTGTGTGTTCTGTAGATCAAGCACTGCTCATCAAACACACTTTAAACAAACTCAATGTTCAGTGGCGTGGCAGAACCCTCTCACTATGCCACTGTCGTACGAACTTTCTGCAATCGCTCAATGCAAAGGCATTGTCAGTGACAATTGCTGGTAACAATTTCCATGAAATATTGTCACATATCATGCTCTTCAGGGAGTCGTCACGGTGTTTACATGACCTGCCTCCTGACCCTCTTACTCTAATGTAGCTTTTCAAATTCATTTTCATAAAGAACCTTGGGATGCACTTGCATTTATAGACGCTATATAAACGTAAAAAACTGTAAACAAACAACCCTAAATGCACTCTGAAGCCAAGAGGCCTGATAGCCAGGATCTCTCTGTGGGACGCGATGCATCCGCTTTCCCCTGTCGACCTTGCCTTTTGCGCTGCCAGAGGCGACCGCCTGCTGCTGCTCGCGTTGCCGCTCGCGCTGCTGCTGCTGCTGCCATGCGCGGCATCGGCCCAGCAGCTCCTGCAGCGCAGGCAGCAGCGCCGGTTCCAGCTGCCGCGGGCACTGCACCGACAGCAGCAGGCAGAGGGCTCGCAGGTCCTGTGTCCCCGCGCATGCGCACACACACGGGTTACAACACATCACACCAGCACGGCATGACCAAGCCTTAACAAAGAATCAGCAACCAAGGTACAGATGCGACAATGGAGACAATACAGGTGGCATGGGTGAGACTATTTTAATGACGTTAAAGTTGATTCTTGAGCAAAACTGCGAGGCAGATCATGACAATTAAACTGTGGGAAGGGTTAACCAAAACAATCATAGCATGGTGCATCTAAAGCAGACATCCATGCTGTTGACTTCCTACTCCTGTTTAAGTCCAAACTCAAAAGAGCTTCCTGTCCTCGGCCTATGAATAAATAAACATTCCCATCGTTTCTTTGCGAGGGCTCGAGACGCGGCCGCAATTGAATGATGTGCAAATCTGCATCGGTGTTGTGGGAGGGAAGCGTGCGCGCAAGTGTGGACGCACCCCGTTCATGCTGGCGGCAAGACGAGCGGCGTCCGCGCGCTGGGCGAAGAGTTCGGGCTGCAGGCTGCCCTGCTCGCTCACCAGCGTGTTCACCAGGTTCGTCAGCAGGTTCGGGCAGTTGGAGCCGGACAGTATCTGGTTCTGCACCTGCGGGAAGATTTGATTTGATCCGTATCATTTGAGTAATTTTCTCTTTTCCAAAGCAGAATTAACTAACCGCTCGTGCTGGTGTAGTGATGTGTATGCATTGTTTTCACAACAGCTTTCCGAGTACGGTCGATGTCTGCAATTGAATGGAATTAAACATGTGCAGCTCCTGTCTCCCTCTCTCTCGTAAATGCATTTATTCAGACAAACATAAAGGACATATTTTAATTCTGCTTGTGAATTGGCTAAGTGACTGGAAGGAAAATATTTGCTTCAGTCTTATCATTTATTTTTAAACAAATTTGAATTAACAAGCAGTTATTCAAACAAAGAACGAAATGTAAACGTGATATGTAATTAATATTGAAACTATTCTGTGCACCAATAGGGCTACGCATCCTCCAATTGACACGGTTGGCTACTCTCATACATAACCGCTACACCACATGCACCCACATGCGCAGAGAAGTCTTTCGTTGGGATTGGCCAGGTTAACCGTTAATCTCATGCTCCGTCTCCCCGCGTCCCCGCTCCGTGCCGTGCTTTATTAGCACCGAGGTTGTAAAGCACGAGGGACAAGTATGGGGGTGCTTATGGTTTTTAAGAACCAATCGGGGTCTTAAATTCAACAAACATGCATATATTCTGGTTGTGCCCCATTACAATCCTGCTTTATATTCCTATTTACTTGTTCTCTCTGCCTCCCCACCTCGATGGCATTTAGGCAAGTTAACGATCCTTGGATTAACAATTAAAATCAATTCATATGCTGACGATATGTGCACGAAATAGCGCACGACCTCAGATTACTTTAGATTTGTACACACACTGTATGCAACTGGTTTATGCGACTCCTGCAGCCACGGCAGGTGCTATAGAATGTTCAATAAAATGTATTCTTTTATCTAATGGGCACGCTGAATCATCAGGTGGCAAGGCGGCATTTTGTTAAATGGTGATACGCAGTGTGTGGGCATTGAATCGCATTTATATTGCTGCATGTAAAACCGCAATGTATAAATCTTTCCACAAAAACTATTACGCTGAAAACGTTACAACTGAGTGCATAAATATATACACACACACTCATGCAAAGTACGCGCCCACGTGGACGTGCGTTGGTGCCGCCGCTCGGCTCATTCCCGCGTGCGCTGCGAGACCGCGTCGCGCGGCCGATGCCGTTACCTTCGGGAAGAAGCACGCGAGGAAGGTGTAGATGGCGCTGTTATTGAGCGACGTGCGTTCGTCCATTAGGATGCACTCGATGTACTCGGAGAACACAGGCTCCTCGCAAAGCAGCTTCAGGCACGCCTTGCCAGGCTGCGGGGAACGCACACAACACCCAACGCAGGTCACACACAGAAAGTAACCACCCTTAAGCCTCCCAGAGGCACGGATGGACCACAGCATTCTGGGTGGACCACACAGTACGACACTGCCTGGCGAAATCATTCGCTGACAGCGTTTTCAGCCAAATACTATAAATGCATGTTTCTAAATGTGGAGGCAAAACCAGGATCCGGAGAAAAATCCACGCAACCACAGGAAGAACATGTAAACTCCAAATATACAGGTGTCGGGATCGGGATCAAACCCACAACCTTCTGTATACCAGACAAAGTAGTTAATATCTTGTCACTGTAGCCAGAGATAGGGTAGATGATAAAAATACGAGTTGGAAATTGTACTTGACACTGTTGAGCCTGAAGAGAATTACATTAAAAAAATGTTTCCTGATGAAATTTTTAAAATACCTAATAGTAGCTATTGAGTAATAAACAAATCCTTAAATAATGTATTACTCCAAAAACGAATATGTACAAAAAGTAAAATTATCAAAATTGTTACTGGCACATCACATTATGGCTATCCCTTGTTCAGTGTGGTCAATAAAACGAGTATTAGCATAATACACTTTAACTTATACCTGGGGCCCAATTATCATATCAATAGGCTCAAGAAATGTTAGGATAATTTTTTTTTTAATGTTGCAAAAGCAGGCTTGAGGAATTTATAAACATTCAATGCAAATACTAATTATATTTTCGTTTATTCGAGTCCTTGGCTGTCTAATTGTAACTGAAAAAGAATAAAACGCGTTATGCAATCAAACGTTCGCTGCCCACCTGAGGCTGACAAAGCTCAGTCCAGAGCTTGGGGAAGAGCGTGAGATGGAGCGGCACTCCTTCGTACGCCACCAGCACACCTGATGTGGACGACATGCACGCACTTAAAAAGCACGACCAAAGAATTCAGACAGCGCATCCATCAAAGAGCACAGCCTTCTGACTTTTTTTTATTTACCAGGTAAGGCTCAACAAGCTGCATGGCTCTTTTTCAAGAAGCGACCTGGCCGCAAATGATAGCTGAACGAAGTGGCTTATCGCAAGGAAATGTATAGCAGCCAAATACTCTAAATGCATGTTGTTTCTAAATCTGGAGGGTAAAACCGGAGGACCCGGGAGAAAAATCCACGAGACCGCGGGGAGAACATGCAAACTCCAAGTATACAGGTGCCAGGGTTGGGATCGAACCCACAATCTCCTGCATACCAGGCGAGGGTAGTTAATATTTCGCCACCGCTGCACCCACCGCGGCATCCTTCACCACCATCACCAAGACCAACATAAATCTGTGCAAGGCTCACATGGCCCAGTGACGTAATAATGTGCATCAACATCTGGCTGGTACGGTATTACAAAAACACACAAGCGAGTCAAGGTCTTGGACGGACGGCTCGGCGGAAATGGCGAGTCCTCACAATGAAGGCCTTTTGTCGGAAAGATGGCTATCTAATTTTCTCTCTCAGTGTCATCATTTATCACGTGAAATCTACATCAAAGTAAGTTGACATACCGTTTGGTAAGATGAGGTTTTAAAGGAATGAACACACCTATTCTAAATTCAATTGGTTGATGTGCATATACAGTAAACCCTTATTAATTCGACACATGGGGCTCTGGCCTTGCCAAATTATCCAATATTCCAAATGATGTACAATGATACTCCCCCAGTGCCTCCTGCCTGAAAAAGAAAATCCCAATTTTTTTCTCCAAAAAAACTAACACTTAACATCAGTAACCAGCACTGCAGGCAACATTTTTTTATTTGTCTCGCAAAGGGATTTATACTTCAGTCCCTTTCTATTACTTCTTGATGTAGGTGGAGACGACATTTCTGAGCGGGTTGGCTTGCACAGAGTGCACAAACAAGGTAAAGTCCACAGCAACAGGTCTGCACTAACGCTCACCATGCGCGCCGCCACTAGACCGAGTCGTTTTGGTCGTGGTGCGCAGCATCACTCCACGTGTTTGCCAAAATTGGACCAGTCGGTACAGCGAATCGGCTCATGGCGAATTACTAATAGAATGAGCCAAGGTCCGTTTGTGTGTAACGTCACTCCATGTCGACCAGCCCCCCTCATTAATAATCATGAAGAGGTGGGATCCTCCACATGGATCCCCCCCCCTCTCATTAATAATCACGTACGGGTGTCGTCACTCCGCATGGAGCACCCCACCCCCCCCCCCCCACATTAATAATCTTGAGCGGATGACGTCACTCCTCATGGATCACCCAACTCATTAATAATCATGCGCAGGGGACGGCACTCCACATTGAACAACCCCCCACAATAATAATCTTGAGCGGGTGACGTCACTCCACATGGGGGTGGAGGTGTGCCTCTCCTCAACCTTCCTCAGCGTCAATTTACAACAGAGGTGGGACAAAGTCATTGTTATGCAAGTCCAAGTCGAGTCTGAAGTCATCAAATTCATGACTCGAGTCTGACTCGAGTCCAAGTCACATGACTCGAGTCCACACCTCAGAGGTGGGACAAAGTCATTGTTATGCAAGTCCAAGTCGAGTCTGAAGTCATCAAATTCATGACTCGAGTCTGACTCGAGTCCAAGTCACATGACTCGAGTCCACACCTCAGAGGTGGGACAAAGTCATTGTTATGCAAGTCCAAGTCGAGTCTGAAGTCATCAAATTCATGACTCGAGTCTGACTCGAGTCCAAGTCACATGACTCGAGTCCACACCTCAGAGGTGGGACAAAGTCATTGTTATGCAAGTCCAAGTCGAGTCTGAAGTCATCAAATTCATGACTCGAGTCTGACTCGAGTCCAAATCACATGACTCGAGTCCACACCTCTGATTTACAACCCTCACTTCAAAGGCAGAACCCTCACGTCAAGTGATCTCTGTAACGCTATTGAGACATCAAGGTACAACGGACGTCATGATGAACAAGGGAATATAACCTTTAAATGAAATAAGTCGTGTCACCGCGGCCTGACAAATTGCACACGCATTCATTCAATATGACGTTGCTGTCTGCTTTTCGCTTGCAAGTTTCAGATTTACTGCAATACACACGTCCTTGGACGGGCTATAGGCTAGTACTGTATATATGCCGAAAGCGCAGCTGTGCAGAATTATCCCAATTCCAAATGATCAAATACCGAAATAACGAGGCTTGACTGTATTAAATTTGCAGTTGTCTACTTCCAATATTGTTTACTGGCAAAAAGTCTGTTTTCGTAGGCCCTTCAGAGTGAACACAAAATAACACTTTCCATTACCCGTCATTTCGTAGTATTGTATTACATTTTAATTCCAATTTTTAAATGCCACTACTCATTACTCATATGTTAAAACATAAATATGTATTTTGATAAGTACATGTATTATTTAACGGCAAGATATGACATTTTAAATATTGATTTTAAATATCTGCCAATGTGTGGCAAATGAGAGAGCTGCAGCGCCTGGTCAGTAATGGTTCAGCCACATTCACGCGACACTGCATTTGGCATTGTAAAACTGGGTCTATGCAGCACAAGTTCTGCACAGTATAAACCTCTACCTCAGACGTACCTGTTTTTTAGCCTTGTAATCTTCATCGTTTGTTCATCCACATTGTTTGCACATTAAATACTTCCAATAATCTCCCTGCATGTGTTCATTCTCTTCGCTATCGTCCTTCCTCAGCACTCATATTTCTGCCACTTTTTGGTTCCCTTTCACGCACTCATTCCATTCTCAAGACTGCGTCTTTCTCCTCACAAACCAAGTTCCCCATGTTGCCACCCCCCACCCCACCCAAACACTCACTGAGCTTGATGAGCGTCTCAGTGACCTTGTCCTGGTTAACTGCCACGCGGCACAGGATGTCCATGAAGTGGTGGTATGGCAGGAAGTAGTCCAAGAGCAGGCGGTCGTAGGCCTCGTCCCTGCCCTGCACAACACGCGAGTGTGCGCACCACGCCATCGTCAGCTGCACAGAATCCATTAAATATTATTTTTTACTATTCAATTTTACCAGGTAAAGCCCCACTGAGAAGCGACTGGCTACAAATGATAGCTCAACAAAGTGACTTATATGGAAATGTATTGCAGCAAAATACTCTAAATGCATGTTGATAACAAGTGGAGGGAAAAACCAGAGGTCCTGGAGAAAAATACATGTGACCTTGCGGAGAACATGCAAACAACAAATAAACAGGCGTCAGGCTCAGGATCGAGTCCACAACCCCGAGACGAGGCAGATAACATCTTGCGCCCAGGGCATCGATCGATATGGTTTGGAAACAAAGTTTTTAAGAAGCCTGCTGAGCGTTTCCCAGGCCATGTCCTTACAGGACTTAGAATCCAAAAGAGACTCTGCTGTGCGATGTAAAAACGTAAACAATAATTTTGAGGGCTTCAGAATCATTAAGCATTTCGATTTAAAGCTTTCGTGACTGCAGGGATTCATCTTCTTGGTTCTTTCGGTAAACTCACTTAGAAGGGAAATAATAAAATAATGAAATAAATAATGAAACATATTACTTTTTATTTATTACTTTATTATTTCCCTTCTACGTGACTTTACCGAAAGAACCAAGAAGATGAATCATTAAGCACTTTTAAAATAAATATAAAAACTTGCTTTTTATTAGGATTTTCTTAATGTGTTATTATGTCTTTGCTAGAAATTTGTAACAACACGAATTGATTTTGCCTACAATTTCAGTTATTGTTCATGCCTGTAAAGCACTATGTATGGACTTTTTTTGCACGAATAGTGCTTTAGAAATAAAGTTTGATTGATTCTTATTGTGTATGGCTGGATATATAACAACTTACAAGACTATGTCCAGATAAATTAGCAGGGAAAAGGCTTCACAGTTGATCGATAAAGAATAGTATTATTGTACAACTGGATATAAAGCCAATTAGATAAAATATATTAGAGCCCTAGTAATGAATAAAGTATGTACAATTTTAAAAGGCCACACATGTTTGTCATGCCAGGGTTTTGCAAGGTAAACATTTTTTCTCCAAGTATTCTATGAAGTCAAAGCACTTTTACCATGTGTAAATACACTTTATTTCCCCGTTTACATTTTTATAAGCAAACAACTGAAATACTTAACAAATGTTTGCATTGTGGATCGAGCACATTAATAGCCGAATGGTTATTCTATCAGTCTTGCAAATACTCAAGCACTCATTTGCTGCCAAAACCATCCTGGGGGACAAGGTTAGCCAAATAATCAATTACAGTGTAGGATATATTTAGGTTAAACTGTAAATGACTTTTACTTAATAATTCGCAACCTTCAAAGATTTAAACGCTGCTACTTTACCAATAGCAAACCAATACATAAGGTTTCAAGGACAACATGAGCAACAGAAGCAATATATAGAAGGATATTTCACAACACGAGGAAGGGTAGCTCAGGTCAATGACCTCGTGTTTTTCCTGGAAAACTCAATGCTCTGTTGTTTTTCAAGACCTTGGAAATGGCAATATATGAATATATAATAGGGTGCAGAGAACGTGCAGCAGCTGAGGTTCCTGACTCGCGCAAGCACGGCTCAGGCTGTCAGCGCCATCGCCCGATCGCATCCCATCGTCTCCCAGCCCATTACTCGTTAAGTGCTCTGCGCAACCCAGTCTTGTTGCCAAGGGGACACAGATTTCTTTGTGGTCATTAACACCTCTTTTTATTGTCTGCATCCCCATTTACATCACCAGTCCATATCGAGTGGTTTTGAAAGTGAAAAGGATTTGATTTGTGCACAATTCATGCTGCAATTCCATTAACAGCCATTGGGCCTCATATAGTGGGAAGCCGGAAAAAGAGATAACACGAGACGATGATGGAAAAAACATGATGTAGTGGCTGGGTTTTAAGTTTGTGCGCTATTGCCTGATGGAATTTAGGAACTGTAGGTTCAATAGCTCAGAAGCTCCTTCATTCTCTTGTGTGGCTGGGCTGGGTGGATTGGCTTGGTGGCTGGATAGGTGTGTGGTAAACCGGTATAAGTGTGGATGTCTGGGTGAGTATGTGGTTGGCTGTATGTATGTGTGAGTGCTGGGTGGGTTAGTGAGTAGGTGAATGTGTGGATGGCTGGCCAGCTGTGTGGGCGATTGTGTGGCCGTGTGGAGGAATTGCACCTTGCATGTCTCCACCATGCTCGGTAGCAGACACATGTTGAGCTCTGGCCGTGGAGGGCGGATTGTGTTCTTGCCGCTCATCAGCTTCATGTTCTCGTGGCACGGGAAGTACGGGCCGATGGACACTGGGAACGGAGATACGCAAATCGTGTTTGGGCATGTCGTCTAGCGGCACGCGCAACATCACACAATGAGGTTAGCGTCCCGGAGCACGAGCTGCCTCAACACACACACACACACAAACCTGAGCCAACTCAACTTACATGACTTATCATTTAGCAATCATGGGCCTGAGAATGTATTATTTACAATTTATGTACATTATAAGTAAATAGTATTCCAATGTTACATTTCGGCTGAATGAAGCCAACAAAACTGTACCCTACAAGAAATAAAACACAATACAGACTAGATGCTAAAAACGAGACATTTGGTTCTCGAGTCGAATCGCGACAATTATTCGAATCGTTGAGGTGGGTGAATCACAAACACAACGGCAAGGTGTTTCTGAGGTTCCATCGAAGGCTGCAGTTGTGGAACACGCGGGGGGGCAGGCCACTCACTGGGCATATTGTTGCGATGATAAGCAAAGTGGTTGTGCTGCAGGAAGGGCACCATCGTGTGAAGGCAGTCGTTGGGACACAACAAAACCAGCTCCTTCAGCACATCTGCACTCGCGAGGAACAGCAAACGGGAGTGTTTTAGGCAAGCAGAATTCCTCCGTCGGCTCAGTTAACCAACCAGCTATGGATGACTGGGCACAATTTATTATTGAAATGCAATGCTCTCTAACGAGGGACACATTAATTTAAAACCTGTTATCGTGTTGAATAGGAATTTCCCCCAACGACCACAAGAGTGCCCTGCCACCGACATAAATGGAACACTTCGTAAGAAATCCTTCCAATAAAACGTATAACACGGACATAAAGTGACAACTCGTCATCGAAGACTCTATAACAATGCCTGCAATATAAATTTTAATTTTTTTATCTTTACATAAGGCTCACACAAGGAGTTGCGTCGTCATTTAAATCGGGTCAATGATCACAGACGTGCCCTACCGAGGCAGGTGTTGCGCAGGTCAGGGGGGCTGTAGGAGTTGAGCAGCGTGAGCAGCTTGTGGGCAAAGTCCATTCTCTCCTGCCATTGGATGAGAGCCTGCTTCACGTCTGTACACAACCATGAAGGTGGGAGGGGGGACAGTTAAATCACAGGAAGCTTGAACACAATTATTCACTAAACAATAAGGGGTGTTTTTTGTTTAATTATTTTTTTGCAAAAATGACAGGGAAGGAATGTATTAAAACAGACGACATAATACAGCTGATGTAACTTAAAATTGAACATCCGAGACAAATGACAGAAAACATGGAAAGCATGCAGATGTGTCCGCATGGGAAATAAGTCGTGATGCATGACGATGGGTGACGGGGAAGCAATTCATGTAACATGGGTCTTGTACGCGGCACCATGGAGCACTAAGCACGTGAGGAAAATGCATCTGTGGTGGTCAGGACATTTAGAATACAGCAATGAGTGCAATGTCAAGTGGATGATGAAAGGGTGAGGTGGCGAGGGAATGAGAGAGGCCAGCAGATGGCTCGACCTGAGGCTTGTAGAGGCATACATCACTTTGTCGCTGTGATGTCAGGAGGAGGTGGTTGCGGGAGACATGGGGTTCTCGGGTGGACAGGGGGCACAAGCAGTGGGTGGGGGTGACACTCACCCTTGCGCTGCAGGAAGGGCTGGGTGGCCCTCAGCACGGACAGGAAGATGGAGAGCAGCTCCACCAGGTCCACCGTCACGTGGCATGCTGTTGCTTCGTGGTACATCATGTGTAGCGTGTTGAAGGACTGTGCACATTCAATCATGCATCAGTTGTTCATGGACACGAGTATGTAACACAGGCTCACACCATCATTACAAAAGGTAAACAAAACTGTTAACACAACTGACAAACGGGCATCCTAATCTTTACGTTTTTTTCTCAAATTGATTTAACAAAAGCTGTTTCAAAGGAACAAACAGCAGCCCGGCACAGAGCACTGTAGATGGCTGTGCCTATGAGTGATCCTCCTGCTGAAAGTGTGAGTGCGATAGCGATGCCCTGGCTCGTAGCACACGGCGAGTCTGGGATGCCTGAGAGATGCATCTCACCTCGTTCATGAGGAGGAGTCCTCTGTTCAGCAAGACAAGCAGGCGGTCCTCATCTGTCTCAAGTAGGATCCGGAAGGCGCTGCAGCACAATCATAATAAGAATAAACACATTTAGTATTCGTGCCCATTTGAAATCTCATTACTCAACAAACTAAATGAAAGGGATCCAATTACAATGTATATATATATTTAAGGTTCACTCCTAATGAACTCAGTTACAACACCCTTTAAAATGCACGGCTCAATTTAAACATCATTCAAGAGTGTATTCAATCTGTCTGGATTTTTTCCACGGTTTGAATGTAAGCATTGAGACACAGGTGTGAAGAGCATTTAAAATCTGAAGCACCACTCGTACAACAAAATATACACCAATGGGGCTCAATGGCTGTGCAATGCCATTTCCAGAGATAAAGTATTCATTAACGGAGCCTGACAATGGGCCTATTTTGCAGACCCATTTGGCATAATTCACATGGGATCCCCCATCATCGTTCTGCTTTTTTTGATTTTGTTTTGCTCTGTCCTGTATGAATCAATGTCCCTTCCAAGTATGCATATATCCCTTGTACTTGTCTATCCCAGCTCTCCTTTTTAAATCTATCCACACGTAATAATCTCTAAGCTCATCTCCTGTGCTCTGCCTCTTCTATAATCTTAAACATGTCCCTAATAGTACTTGCAACAATCCTCTCCCCACCATTTGTGAATCAATCTCAGAGCGATATGGTGTTTTGAGATAAGGCTGTATTCACGACATGAATAAAAAAAGATTAATAGTGCATAAACCCAGGCCTGCCCCAAGTGGTAGATCACACCTGTTATCCAGCACTTTGCAAGCAAAGTTTGGTGAAAATATATATTTGTGAAACTCCAATAGCTACTGGGATGCAGAAGTGGCCATGATATGGGAGTACATCACGTGCGTTCATCAAGCACTTGTGCGTGTGACCTTTCAGTGCCATTTCCTCCTATGCATGGGTTTTTATCGAGGCACTCCTTTCCTATCATATGCAGAACACTACTTAAAAAGGAACTAGGCAAACATCCCAACGCAGGTCCCGAGTGAAATAATAAAATCTTGATACTCGGAGAAGCTTTCCTGAATAAAAAGTAAGCACACAGGTACGGGCCCTGCAATTTTTGCTCATGCCACTGCTGGTGGCAGGGCTTCCATTCCAGGGAGTTCTATAAAACCCCTTTAGAGGGTATTGATCTTCTCTTCCACACTGGCCAGAAGTCCTGGACGAGGTGAGAGGACCCACACTTTATCCCACCGCATGCTGCCTGCCAATCAACTAACTGTGGTGCCTTCCATTTGTAATGCTGGGTGTACAGCGACGAGAGGGATTTAAACTTGCCCATTGTTTCTATTTAGTAACGCTTTCCTTGACTTGTGACTTTATTACATGCTCCTGGGCTGCATGACGTATAACGTTAACCTCCTACATTCACCGCATGCTCACCTGATGAGTGTGGGCCAGCACGAGCGACCGTCCAGGCAGCGCAAGTAGCTGGTGATGGTCGTCTTCTTGAACTGCTGCACGTCCTGCAATTCCTCCTCCGTCATGTTTGTACGCTTCGCCACAAACAGCTGCATCAGCGCGAAGAGCTCCTCCACGGCCTGGCGCAGAAAATGCAGGGGCACAACGCAAAATGAGCACACTCGCACAGAACGAATGACGCATCGGTGTACGATGTGCGCGAGTGGGAGGTTGGACGTGAGTGAATGCTGCCAAGACAGTAACTTCGTGCGAGTGCACAAAACATCAGAATGAGACAAAAAAATTACAGAAATCTTGCGAAGCAGTGCTCCCTGTGTGTCATCCATTGCCCTGTGGAAGATATTTTTCACTAGATATATTTTATGAAATGCTTCCAGACACTTTTTTTGCTTTAACAGGAAGAGGTACACCTTCCTATATACTCTGCTATGCGATTGTTCAATGATAGTCAAACTATACCTGGAATTTAGCAAACATGGTTTTGTTGTGCAGTCATGAGTGATTAGGCTGAGCCCATCAATGCATTATAATAAAAAAAAGATTAACCATGGGCACTGTGTCTGGATTGGGACAAAGTATCTTAAGCAGTGCCAGTTTGGAAAAGTTTTCCCTTTCAACATCTCTCATTTAAATTTTTTAAGTCCCAGGTGGGTCCCTTCCCGCTTGTGAGCTCAGCAGCAGCATTTTTATTTAAATCTGTGCATATTAACAGAACAAAACAAAAACAGCACCATTACACAACAGATTCAGAAAGGCTGCCGAAGCACACTAAGTTTTGCATTGCAACAAAGTGACAAAACCAAATGGCAAACCGCCTAAATTCGAGGTTGGCGTCTCACCGAGGGGTACTGGTTGGCGTGTGGCGTCAGGTTCTTGAAGGCCCACTGGATGTTCTGGTGTGACGCGAGCTGGCGCGTGAAGGCGGACGACTGCTGGCAGCAGAGCCGCAGCAGGCCGTAGTAGGCGGGCAGCATGGCGCGGTTAAAGAGCACCACGTCCTGGTCGTCGTGGTCCGCCAGGATGTAGTTGAAGGCGATGTTGCGCGCCACCGATGTGCTCTGCACCACGAGGCGTGCGTTCTCGGGGCAGCCTACGCAGGCCGCGTGCCAGAAGGCGAGCAGCACCTGCTTGTTGTGATTGGTGGCGATGGCGGGCTCTGAGAGGCGCGGCTGGTAGATCGCCCACAGGTCCTGGAAGTACGGCGAGAACATGAGCTTCTCGGCGCGCGACACCAGGCAGTGCGACAGCAGGCCGAAGTAGGGCACGAGCTTTGTGGTGCCGTGGAGCTGCGCATCGGCGTAGGGGCGCGCGCACGGAAGCAGAGCCAGCAGCGCCTGGTAGACGCGGTGCAACACGCCCGTTGCCTCGGGACCCAACGGCATTTCACGGCCCGGCGTGGTGAGGGAGCGAGTTGAGCGGAACATCTGACGGAACGAGTTGCTGGGTATGAGCGACACCAGGAGGTAGGCGGCCGCTGAAGAACATGGGGGCGGCAGAGGGCAAACGGGAAAGGAGAGTCAGAACGAGAGAGGTTTGTGCACAATTTCGCAGGTGGTCATAGCAGCGAGTCTGGAGCCACTTGGTAATTGGAGTATATTTTGTGGTATGCAAATTAGTGCAAGAGGTTAGGCATGATATGATTTTCAGAAATTCAACGATTGGAATTCTCACGCCCATGATACACACCCAAAATCAAACAGTGAATAATCAAATAATACATTATTTAAATGCATGCCTACAAAGGGCAGCGTACTTCAACAGGGATTACCGTTGGTAGGGCTATTTTAATAAACACAATAGACAGGAAAGACAAGTTCAAAGGGCTCGCTTAATGCACATGCATAATGTAAGTTGCCTCAGTAATCCCCCCCCCCCCCCCACATTGTGCAAGAGCGCAGAAGCGTGGTCAACACATATATGCCTCTATGTAAGGAACGAAACACAAAGACTTCTCCACAAATCTGGCTGTCACCTGATGAAGCTAGTTATAATTATTGGCGAAACGTTGTGCTCAGATTGTAAACGTTGTGGCTTGGCTCTCAAACACACCGGTGTGCTGTACTAGTGACGAATTGGCCACACTCTGTTTACGTGACAACCCTTACCCGTTGGCTGTGTCGGGTGGTGGCAGGTTTTAACGACACATTTATATATTTACACGCTCTAACCCAAAAACCTCTATGGATAGTTATCTATATATGCAAACTAAATGCAAATGTCACACCTAGTGCTATTAGTACCAAGAGGGAGGCAGGAAACTTTTAAATGAAGGGACACTAAACTACAAGACTTAAATGAGATACTACCACATCACAAAAATGGGTATTTTCTTGAATCGAAGTGCAGCTCGAATTGTGAAATGTATGCAAGTCGCACAGCGTAGCAAAAGTATAACATGCCGAGCACAAATCACATTATTGAACCTGTTAGGTTGATGATCGCACAAATAACATCCAAAACCTAAACTCCACAAACACCACAGCAGGACCTCCAAGACACTCAGCGCTGCGTGTCTGTGTGTGCACGAGCTCACAGGTGCGGACGCGCGGGTAGTTATGCGCCAGCAGGAAGCGCTCAACCCAGCTGTCCATATTCTGCAGCACCCACGTGTGCGCGAGCTTGTTGCGTGGCGTCTGCATAGCCAGCCAGTCCAGGCACTGGGCAGGGTTATACTCGATCACCTGTTGCCGGGGATGAAGAGAGGGAGTGGGAGGGGAGAGGGCAGGGTGGCAGAGCTGAATTAAATGTTTATACGACGGCAACGCCGAATCCGAATGAACAGGAACAGAGAAACAATCAATAGATAGAGACCTGAAATCCGCAACAGAAATGGTCACATCTTGAGCAAGCATTAACAAGTTACAAAAGTTATTACAATAAAGTTGTTGTGCTCACCTCCCAGATGCGCTGCAGTATGTAGGTGGTGAATGGTGGCATGCCGGGTGGACCCGCCGCAAATTCCATGAGCATGGAAAGCAGCTTAAAGAATGGCTGGGCTGCCTGCACGCTCAACGCACGGCCCGCCGTCAGCACAACAACTGAACAAGGCGGTTTTTCACAACAGGAACTTCATAAGTACGTCTTATATTGGATCGCGAGCTGCCTCGAAGGCAGGTACTCACAGACGCTCACCAACTGCTGGTATCAACCGAAACACGAAGGGCGACAAAATTAGCATGAGTTGTTTTTTTAGCACAATAAGAGTAAGGGTAATTAACTGTACCTCTGGACTGAGCTTTGCAATAGATGTAAACAGCATCGCGACGATCTGTGGGAGAAATGTATAAAGGCAGTTTTTGTAACGCAGCAATGTGCGACATATCAGCAATCTGTTTTTCTTCTGGGCATTATCATCACAATAAGATGGCACCACCTTAGTCAGAAGCATGGATACACAACAAAAATCTCCCTTAGAGCCCTTACAGAGTGTTGGGGCAAGTGCTGTTAGCGAGAACCAATGAGGGCCGACACAGCACATCAGGGGACTCTATTAAGACTGAGGAGTCAACCTAAGGGAGGCCCAGGACTGGTTCATATAACCATATCTGGTGTGGGCCGTGAACAGGAATCGGACTTGGTTCGCTGGGTTAAGAGCTTAGCGGACTAACCATTGCACCACTGCTCCCCGTGGACGCAAAAACACAGACGCACACACACGGTGTGTAACATGAAGTAGCTGGAGTTAATTCCTAATAGCATACAGCCGCTCTAAAAAGGAATCACTTAAAATACGGGAGGAAACGCCGAGCACAAGGATGAAAGACAAACAGAGCAAGGGGTACTCACATGCTCGGCCAGACGGTTGCTGTAGCGGCAGAGGCTGAAGATGAGGTTGCAAGTCTGCTTGATGTTGATGCCATCTCGGATTTGCTGGAAGAGGAATGGGAAACCCTGGAAAGTATATTTTTTAAAGGACAGTGTTAAGAGGAAAATGATTGTAAGAGAATACGAATGTTTGTAGTGTGAAGATTGTCGATGCAAGAATGGTACAGTTTCAATCTTAACTGGTAGTGGGAATAAACTGTTAACTTTCCCTTTTTGAAGGGAACTTACTTTTCCTCCTGTAAGAGCTGCCATGTCACTCTGGGAAAGGGTCAAGTGCCTAAAAAGAAAATCAGCAATGTCGTTTAAAAAAACACAGTCCCACACAAAACCCATTGCAGTACAGAGCTCACAGTGCAATGCAATTTTAAAATCAACAAACAATACAAGGCATGTCTCTTCACTTGACATGCTGCTAGAACACACTCCCAATTTATTTCAAATCAAAGCTAAAATAATAAATACAGGATTTGGAATATTAGAGAACATTTTGCATTCCCAAAATGTTGGCCACTTGGTACAAAAAGTCACACTGTGAGAGATTGCAATCCCTACTACAGATTGCCTGTAACCCTAAGTTCCCCCCATTAGGAAACAATTTACAAATAAAGAATTATGCATTTCACTTGATTATACCCACACCAAAGAAAGTGTTATTTTGATCTGTAAAGTTATAGCACATCATCACTTAATTACCAATGTGAACAATGTGGTCTACACTTTGATGGTGTGATCATTAGAAAAATTTAAGGACATGACTGGTGACCCAGAATGGCAGCTGAAGGGAGGAATTGCAGCCAAGAGGACCACACAGAGGTGTAGTCACGAGAGATCAGCTCATGGGCAGAAGCGAGATGGGTTTTAGCATCACTGAGGATGATGGAGAATAGCGACAACGTGGATAGGCCTTAATCCAGCAGTGGCTCGACAATGCCATGACAGTAACGACCATGGTGAAAGGCAATTCTCACCTCTCGGATCGCGACTGCTCGACGAGGTGAGCGATGAGTGTTATCATCTTTTCGAGGGCAGCAGGGCGGTACTTCTCTTCGGCGAGCGCCAGGATATCCTCTTCGGGCTCCTCCTCCTCGGCCTCCTCCTCCGACAGGGCTTCCCCTGCCGCCTGTGGCTGGGGCTGGGGCTGCCCAATGCAGGGAAGACAGGAACAAGCAGCAGAGGAATCAGCAGCATGACCAAAATCTCCAATTTACTATCCTAATTTTCTGACTTTCAGTGCGCTTATCAAAAATGGATTTTCGTCGAAAACAATCGCAAAACTAAATTCACAATAAACAAATTATCCACAGAGCACGTTAAATAAAGGTACACAATCTTAGCGTCGTAACCACCGCCCGCGTAAGTTCACTGGAAAAAATATAGCACCAAGTTGAGGCCGTGACAAGAAGGAAACCACCGGAAATGGAAAAGCAAAGCAAAAAAGCAGGGAAAAAAAGGAATGAAACAAGAGGGGGAAAGAGAGGGGTGTGTCTGTGTGTGGGGGCAGTGGCAATCAGGTGCTTCTCATACAAGACCTGTCTGCTCAAAACTAAGTCACTGCACAAATCTTATTCATGCGACAAATGTTGCCATTCGCTCAACCCGAGAACGCGCAAACGGAGCACAAGACATTTGAGATGTTTAACCCACATCCATTTGTCTTAGAAAAAGAAATACTGCATCAATCAACCTTGAAGGAATGCAACTTTTAAAATCAGTTTATTTTGCATTACTCTGTTTGAAAATTGTTTAAAACACCCGTGTTTATTATTTTGTTACTGTATTTGACATACACTGCACAACCTCTTTGGGCAAAGCACAACTTCAGTGACCTTACATTTTCAGGGACCTTGGTCCCCATGTAGAAGTGCACCATTGTGGAGATGGCTTGCACGGACAACAGGAACTGGCGCTAAAAGAAATAAGAAAAAACAAACAAATGCAAGTTCAAGTTTTCTCCTAAACGAACGATTCATCACTCATCATCAACACGAACGCACCGGCACCTTCATATGTTCCAACACCACAACAATTTCTAGAACTAGGAAAGAGAACATAAAAAAAAACACTTGAATAGCTTCCAGGTCCGAAACCACACGAGGGATTGCACGGCAGGTTGCAGGACTTGCCTCCTCCTCGCCCATCTTAATGAAGTCGCAGAAGAAGGCAAAGTATTCGGTGAGGTGGCGGCTATGTGGCTTCACGCCGTGCTCCATGACGGCCAGCAATGTCTTCACGAAGCGCGTCACGCACGATCGCAGGCCCAACTCCTCCAGCGGAATGAGGGCATCGTCCGGGCTGAAGGGGCAGCGTAAGACACGGGAATAGGGGGACAAGCACATGTTGCAATGTGGGAAGGAGTCGGGGTGGGGAAAGAGGGTTGTGGGGAATGTGGGAACGTCAATTAACAATCACTGATATTCGCATGAAGACGTAGGAGAAATATAATCGGCTATTAAAATCTAAATTTAGTTGAGTAACTCATCGTATTTAATACATAACTGTTTCTCCTTAACAGCCACTAATGGCATCGTGTACTCTGATGTGTCCTGTCTCTACCACAGAAAACCAATTATACCCTAAAAATTTATTTAATCTGTCATGTGTAGCGTATTTTGACTCGGGTGTATGACAAAAAACGTGCCCTTACTCCTGTTTGTATCCTGTTTGTGAGTAGAGTAAGATTCTTTGAAGGACATGCACATTTTTTTCTTTCTAAGAATTTAGATTGAATAAATAGCACTTGTGTCCAACTATATTTTCCCGTGAAACTCAGTAAAGAGACAGCGAGAGGGTTGGGTGCGCACCCATTGTCCGACACGGGCTGCAGGTAGAGGTGGGCATGCGTGGGCCGCAGCTGCTGGATGACGTGGATGCAGAGGCGCTGGAACATCTGCGCGGACGAAGGGGCCCCACGCCATCCGTCATTGGCACCCGAACACGAGACGAAAATAACAAGGGCCGAGAGGGGTGGCGCCCTCTCTCAGCAAACATCTCTCCAGCGGAAAAACACAGCTCGCAGTGCAAGTTTACAAAACGTGTCGTGTGATTTTAACACAAAAATCTCATTCAGATGCAGCAGCACAAGAACAACGCAAACGTGGTGGTGGCTTGAAATGAATGAGTGAAAAAGGTTCCGTGAGAACAAAAATATCCAATGAATGATTTAGGATTCAAATAACTTTCTTGTCAATGTTTCGTTACAAATACAGAACTGTAACTTGAGTTTCTTAGAGAAAATATTCTCCCTTAATGTACCTCTGTGTTGTAATTTTAGGACAAACTAGTGATGGTCACATGAAAAAACAAGACATCAGGGTCTTTTCAGAGTGCTTGCGTCATAGGATTTCCATTACGTACAGAATTTTAAAATTAATTATTTAAGCACGCTACAGAGAGGTAAGCCAACTGTTGCATGACCTACATTCTCTCAGCCAAACAGGACAACAACAAGCACAATGAAAAGAGGCACCCTCGCTTGCCCAATGGGGTAAATCTTGCTAGGCGTTTTAATGCCAAGAACAGCATGGGGTGGGGCGTGAGACATACAGAAGCATTGCAATGAGCTACACTGTAGAAAAAGAAACATTGTTACCTGTCTTACAATTTGATTGGGGCATTTAATCAGGATCTGCATCGGCCACCAGTCGTCGTCAGCCATTTGGTCCAAAAACCACTAGACAAAGTATAGAGAGAAACACAAGGTGTTAGATGCACATTTGTATATTCACTCAATTGCACTGGCAGACACAACAGCCAGGTAAAATAGAGATTTCACCATTAAGAACAGGATAACTGGTTGTGTATGGATGGAAACAAATCTTGAATCTAGCCTCCGAGAATAATGCTGCATTAGAAAAAAACATGATTGCTATTACCCGACAGTTTCCACTAAACGGATTGCAAGGGACCCCATGGGGATTACTTGAATTACTCATCACACTGGATTCATCCACTGTTGGAACTATAATGAAAGTAATTAATGCTAAAATTACACCCTTGATTAGGTGTTCGATTATTCGTGTACATTTTTTCTAACGTTCAGTAAAAAAAGGAGCACTCCTGAAGGCAACAACGACCAAAATAACGCACTGTCCATGAGAACGAAACCACAATGCATACAAAGTAGGCATGGACCGTGTTTCGTCTCTTAGCATCTCCATTCTGCCATCTCTGGCCTCGTTTAAACTATTAAAATCACGAACGTTTACGTGTGAATGTACTTTAACAATATAACTGCCATGATGAAGTTTCTTTTTAAAATTTGTAATTGTGGAATACTTTTGTTGTCGTCTGTTAGCCGAATTGCCTTCAAAAAAGGCCTTCTTAGCTCAATGTGCTTTACTCGGTGGGAAATAAACCTCCGATTCTGATATTATCATCAAGTGTTTCGCCACCACTTCAGAATCAGAAATTACAGACATTCCGGGAAATCTGATAGTCGCACCACCCACCCGCCCACTTGACCAATGAACAACAATTGGTAAGCTGATGGTTAGGCACCAAGAGGTACTGAACAACTAGCCCCTTGCCCCCCCACACCATGGGACACACAGCTGAGGTCAAGGCCCACCTCGCACGCGGCCTGGCTGTTATTGAACTGCTTGGTCAGGAGCTCGATCCACTGGAGCATGGTGGGCTGTGAAGAAAAAACAAACGGCATTTTTGACAAAGCATTATAACTATCAAAAGCTAACCATCGGTGTGTCCTGGATTCTCAATGATTTTCAAATTTGATGGCTGACAGTTAAGGACGGAAGAACACTGGCAAACAGAGTGGAACAATGCGGACGTTTAGAATAAACCCCCCTCGTTCGATACCCAAACATCACACCTCCTGGCTTTGACATTCCTCAAAGATACAGTATTAACCATCAATCGCATCAAAACATCAATAGGTCCCATTTCCTCATCTCCTTCACAAATGCTAAATTGATGACAAGCCACAGATTGTGGCCATGGAATCCAGACAACAGAGGAATAATGAAACTACACAAACTCTCTCCTGAAGCCCTCTCGTGGCAAGCAGACCATCATTGGTATTTAGCTCCGGAACATAATTCCATATGCAAGAGAACAGCGATTTAAAATGTTTGTCTTTGGCTAATTTTAAGATGGCTCACTGTAAATTCAGGGCCCCAATGAGCAGGAGATACGAGGCATGCAACAAAGCATCGATCCGATTCTTATGCTCACTATACATGCATCAAATTGTGCGAGTAAGAATCAATTATTTTCCGTCGTATACATTGTACGTAATTGCAGCCATTAGAGGTGCTACATTCACCAGTATTAAAGCTAAAACATGACAAACGCAAGGGGGTGAATCGTTACATGTGGAGTGGATATCCACTGCAGGAGCCACGAACAAAATGTTAATAGTCCTGTAAGGTTACACTCAACAGGAGTAAATTAATTTTGGCTACGTTATATAATCTAGATGTAGAAACAAACCAAAGATCCCCCCGTATAGCCTTAACAGACTATTGGGACAAGTGCTGTTCACGAGCACCTATGAAGGCCGGCACGGCACACAAGGGGGTTGGTGGCCAACGCCACGCCCGGCCGCCTTTGTCTCCCTAGTGGCAATGTTTACACACCGCACCAGCTACTCATGTGAGTCTGAGTCGACCTAGGGGAGGCCCAGGGCCAGTTCAGATAATCGTCACTGGTGTTGGCCGTGAGTGGGAATCGAACTTTGGTTGCCAGGTTCGTAGTGCAACGTGCTAACCGCTACACTACACATACACACAATTTATATCTACATGCAGCTGCAGCTCTTAAAACACTGCACTAACCCCCATTCACATGCTGCCAACCCGATGAGATGTGTTGGTGTAATTTCTGACAGGCCTTTAAGGAAGTGTTTGTATCTTGAAAACCTTTACCTTTTCCTTCGAGTGAATGAATGTTTCCAGCACAAAGGAGGTGCTCAGCTGAAAAACAAACACATACTCAGAAACATGAAATAATACACATGCCACCAAAGTGACCAAAATTACAAATGTACGAATCACAAACCGAATCTGCCATTCATGGGATAGGCCACGTACAGGGCTGTGTTGCACATACACGCACACACACTGCAGGTGCACCTTGGCAGTCATGAGGGTCACAGCCTTGGGGTCGGGCAGAGTGCTTGGGATGTAGCTGCACAGCTGCCACATGAATCTGTCCCACGGACAATACAACACAGAGCAACACAAGCTCATGTTTCATATTCAATTCAAGGAGCAAAATCCATTTATAATTTTTTTAAAAATCCCGATTCCACATGGATTAAAACACATTTTTTCAAGTACAATCCACCTTCGTGCAGTACTTATGTAATTAATGTTAAGTATGTAGAACTTCTTTCGCACCGTATGTAGCCAACCGTGCTAATCGGAGGTTCATCATTGTGAAAGTGATAACCTGGGCTAAAGAGAATTTAAAAAAATTTCCTACCCGAAGTAGGTGTGCTCAAAGATGTTCTTATCTTGGAGGAACTGCATGTTGTCGTGCCAGATCCACTGTAAGCGACACACAAATGCAACTCAGCCGACTTGCCTTTTACACGACGAAATGCTCACAGGTTCACACGCATTCACGATATGCAATAGCTTTTTGATGAATAAACGAGTGTGCGTGCCGTTTGCAGCAGACGTGACAGCGGGGTATACTTCGGACCTCGAGAAGCTCAGGGGGAATATCAAAGGTGGACTCCTTGCCCACATCCTCACTCGATTCTACCCGCTTGTAGAACAGCATGTAGGCACTGTGTGTCTGCAAGGGAAAAGTGTCGGCCACGCGCGTTACTTTTTTACGGCGATGCCCATTGCTGTGAGGGATGAGATGCTTCAGCATCTCACTCCAAATTCATACTTTAGTAAAATGTTACAATTGTTGAACTGCATGCAAAACTGAGCTCAGGCACACACACAAAGCTTAACAAATGCTTTTGAGTAGACATAAGACGAACCTTTTCAAATGAGAAGTCCATAAATTTGTCGGTAACAGAGTCGTATGTTTTAGTCTGAAACACAAGAAGCAATGTGGAGATTTAAACAAATAAACAATGGCAAATCCTCATGTTTAACACTCCAGAATTTCATATTTTACTTGAATGACTGCCGCTTATTGGTATTTCGCAGCGTAGTACTTAAAAAATGGTAAAACTCGTCAGTTACATAGCAGCGAGCAGTGTTTGTTAAACGATCAGAGAGGGCTTCGGTATTTGTTGAAAAAGATACCGTCATCTCTCCGCCGAAACACTCGGAAGCCAGCTGTGTCGAGTCAAAGGGCTTCACTTCCGCATCATTGAACAGATACCTTGAGGAGGAAGGACAAATATCAACGTTGTAATACAGGCGTTTGCATGCGGTCTAGTCGTCAAAACCAATACATTATTTACAGTGTTATTCTTTGGGACTAGGCGAGTAATGATGCATTGATTCATCAATTCAAACTGATTCTTAGGCCGATGATATATGCATAGAACTGTCCAAGTGAACCAATCAATTGGAAACTATATGTGCATGTTAGATATATACGAATGAAGTGGACAAGCCAGTGAAAAACAATACAAACGAGATGGTAAGAACATGACAACAACTCAGTCAATTCTTCAATAGAACTGGGACCATGTATATTGGGATGATTAATCGAATTACTGCTGGGTGAATCCTTAATTCCCTAAAAAAATATATCACTTCTTAAAAATGGACATTCCACTATCAACATTTGGAGAAGATATTATGAGCATGCATGATATTCTTAAATATTTAAGCAAAGTCTAATGGTGGTCAGCAGCTGGCCTTTGCTGCCAAACTTTTATCATCGGCGAGACTTACAAATGTTAAAATATGCATCGTCATCGATGTGGATTATTTTATTACACCCAATCGCCAAAGCCTATGTTCTTATAATATTCTAGCCAATGTAAATGCCTTAATCGTACGAGCTGTGTTTTGAACACTCTGCTTTCACGTGGTGGATCATAAACAAGTGCTTGTGGGGAGAGGAACGAGCCAGGTCGCGTGGACTCCAGCGACGTCTGACCAGAGATCTCCCCTGGAATCTGCTCTGGGGAGAGGCATGGGACAACACTGGGTAAGGCCACAAGGGCACCACAGGCTGCAAGAGAAGCCACCTCCCGCTACTTTGATTTCACACGTATACACTGCAGCCTGCGAAGGTGCAATTTATTTTTGTTCAATCCGCATGGTTCCACAATTGATGTGGAACAGATAGTCCTCTACTTACGACGACCCCATTGTAAGTCAAAAATATCGTAAGTCGAAGATGGCCTAGTCTACCCAGGAGTCTTAAAGAATGGTGATAATTTATCAAAACAGAGCAATTTACAGTACCGTACTGTATACACTATATACTGTATGTATGTATTAATTACAATACTGTATTGCACAGTAAAATGTAAAGTAAAAAAACAAGGTAAAGTCTTAGCCTACCTATATGATCTGCAATTTAACAGAAAGTTTTTTCAGGAAACAATCCTAACTTAACTCCGTCGACCGCTGGTGAGAGTGAGAGGCATCACCACACAAGGCGGGAGATGCGTACAGTACATCCCGGCAGCGTCCCAACGTACAGTATCGTACCTCGTACGCTGCTGCGTTTGCCTGCCCCGCGAAATTTAAAATATTTTACAATTTTGTCGTATCGCTAATCGCCATCGTAAGATCGAAATATCGTAAGTCGGACCATCGTAACTCGGGGACTATCCGTAATAAAAACGTCCAGAGCACCTCAAGTGCACTGTGGCGGTGAGCTGGTGTGCTCACCACTTGTTGTTGCGGTAGGCTGCCGGGTTGATGATGTCTCGGATGAAGCTGTAGTAATGGCCGCCATCCGCGGTGCCTGTGTGGACTGTCACGCCGATGAGGTCGTACTCGTAACTCTCCTCCGCCTTGGCCACGCCGCCCGCCCCCTCCTCCACCTTCAAGCCTGTGCGGCACAAGACACAAGAGTTACACAACACATGCGGCATTCATACTGCACAGGCTGTGGTTTAAATAAGCGTTTGAAATTGGAGACGGGAGCAATACAAACAAAATAGAATTAAACGACCAACGATAACAATTACCTCACCTGCCCCGATATTTTTTAACACAGGAATTAAGTGAATATCGCAAAATTGTATTCTCGAAGGTGAATCTTTGTCCTCGAGATAATGTTTAATGGTCCAAGTGCCCTGGATCCAAATTAACAATAATATAACAAGTGTTAATGGTTGAGACCAGACTTCTATGATGCTTCAAAAACAAGTGGGAGCATCAACTTGCAGATTTCTTCTCTACATTTGGTAAAGGTGTCTCAGAGCTCTGAAATGTGTGGTCATTACAAAAAAAGTATTTTAAGAATGCACCGTGCATATTTTCCCTCCTGTCAGCTGAAGTGTGACAATCGACTTGAATTAATGCTTTCCATCCTTGCCTGTCATTCACCAGCTATGTTGCTTTAGTCACTCACCTCTTCTGTTCAACAACATTCTTAATTACATCAATCCAGCTCATTCTCTGTCTTCCTTGTAGCGGAGTATGGATCGCTGTTTGTCGCATCCTTTCTCTATCAATTCACAAATCATGTCGACAAACTTCTTGATTTCTATCTTGCATTATCTGCACAAGTGCCATCTCTTGAACCCCTTTTTATATTTTCTTACTGCAGAGCACTTAAAAGCGAACACAGGAGACAAGTAAAGACCGGAGAAAAGTCTACACCGGGGAAAACTCTACACAGGGCAGTGTCCGACTTACGAACGGGTCCCGTTCCTGAGGCCCGTTCACAAGCCAACAAAGTTGGTAAGTCAGAACACAACAGAGTACTGTATTTAAATGCACAGTGTTAGAAAATGTTCTACGGTTCAACAAAAACGGGAAGCATTGTTAAACTCATAATATGCATGACTGTAACTAGTTCTGCGGTTCTGCCCGCAAGTGCGAGTCCGCTTTTGCAAGTAGGATGGTTAAAAACAAAAATATCTCATGGAAGCTCGTTCGTAAGTGCGGATGTTCGCAAGTCAGGCATTCGTAAGTCGGGGGACTGCCTGTATAACATCAGCAACTGGCGCCAGAAGTGGCAGCGGTTTTGAGCGGCATGCGTACCTTCGGCGCGGTCGCTCCGCCCCATGAGCCACCGCTCGGTGTAGGGCGTCATGTCGAGCCTCAGCGGGAACGAGAAGTGAGTGTTCACCTTCTCCTTCATCATTGTCACCATGTTGAACGTATAGCGCATGGTGTTGAAGCTCAGGATCTGCGGCAGCTTCTTGAAGCAGGCCCTGTCCGCAGCAGCAGCAGCAAGTTGTGAAAACGCGAGCAGCTTTGTTCACAATTTACACAGTTTTCAACACCACTCATGCTATGTTCAACTGGTGATCTTAATAGTTAAAAATGGTGACGCGTTTAACACTAACGGTACCCGAGAGAAGCGCTACTTGTATTTATCTCGAGGCGGGTGCCAGAGGTCTCATCAATTGTACAGTGTATAACAAAACATAAAAGCAAGCTTGAAGCTTTGAGTGATGGGGTCATTTGGAAAATAAAGCCACCATTGTTCGCAAACTTCATCTGAGGCTGCCATCGCACCGTTTCTCGGCGCGCACTTTCTTTCCACACTGCGAGCAGGTGTACATGTTGTCCCCTTCCAGAGTGTCCTTGACAGTCACCTCGTCCAGCGACTCCTGGAAAGGAAAAACCAAATCGGATTCATGCAAAGGCGTAACCAGACGTCACTACGTTGGTGTAAAAGTAGGTCCCCGTTTGCACACTTCACACAAGGAAATCTGGAAGGGTTGCTTACGTAGATGTTCTTCATATCTGCCACTTGGCACCGCACCGTGTAGAATTCTTCTACAGTTTGACTGACGTGGTCACAGTCCTGCAGCAGGGCACAGACAGCCGCGACTCCAATAAGCAGGATTGGCTATGTATGGTGTGAAATAAGTTCAACAACCTACAATACACAATTTTTTAATTTTACTAGGTAAGGCCCACTCTTTTTCAGAAGTGACCTGGCCACGCATTATAGCGCAATAGCGGCTTATCATGTGGAAATATATAGCAGTCAAATAATCGAAATGCACGTTTGCAAATGGAAAAAAATGGAGGACCCGAAGAAAAATCCACGTGACCACGGGGAGAGAGAACACGTAAACTCCAAATATACAGCAGGCATCAAGGTCTGGATCGAACCCACGACCTCCTATATATCAGGCAAGCTAGTTAACATCTCGCCACCGCAGCGCCCCATCAAACCCAACCCCCTCAGCATCCAGCTCATTGCCCAAAGGGCAGAGATGTGTTCATAAGCACCACGAGCATTTGGGTTCCCGCGTGCGTTGCAGCCAACTGGCAGCACTCACCAGCGATACGACGTTGTTTGTAATGACTCCGCCGAATAAGGTCTTGACGGTGTTTTTCTGTGGGGTGGAATTACAAAAAAACATCCTCACAATAATATCTGTACGTATTTCAATTATAAATTGAAAAATTATTTCTTTAGAACCTCCGATTAGCACGATTGGCTACGTACAGTGCGAAAGAAGTTCAACATAAATACAATGGAGTGATTGGAACATGCTGGTACAACTCAATTGTTAAAATTAACGTTTTAATGTCACTGCTCAAATTTGGGAAGCGCTGCCTGTGGCTGTTATGCCCTCACCAGTTCTGGGCTCATCTCCTCAATTTTGGTGATGAGGTCAGTGAAGAACTCCGTCATGTCCTTTTGCTCTCCCGTGTTGAGCGGCAACTTATCCATCATGTAGTTCTTGCAGAATGATCGAGGGTTGTAGGCCTTGCGCTCGCTCTCCTGGTGACGGATTACGCAGCACGCCATCGGGCAGCGAGAGAGGGGGGGTACACGAGGGAAGACGGGTGAGTGAAGAGTGAGACTTACCTCCACGTTCAGCTTGTGCCTGTGTGGCCCTCCCTAGGATACACTGGTGACCCTGGCATTGTATGTCATTCGTATAATGGCAGACGAACTGTCCCTTTGGAAAGTATACCTACGACAATGATTTATTAATATATATTTTTGGTCAGATTTCGCATGTAAAATGCCAATGTGTGTCATGAACCCTCTTCTACCCGATGCAGTCAAATAAATGAAATTGTCACGTGAAAACGTGTCAATGTTGATTGTTTTAGCACACCGGCATGCTGGAGCACAATTCACAACAGTTAACGGCCGGGTTTGACATTTCGCTGGTAGTAGCAACCAGCATCATCAGGCGCTTGCTAGAAATGTGAAAATCTCCTCCAGTCTTAGGCCTTAAGTAGCGTGATGTCATCAACACACTCCCACATCAATACCCAATCATACAATATTGTTGTGATCGAGCATGCCGGTGTGCTGAAGCAATATATATTGGCACACTTGTTCAGGTGACAACCATATTTATTTGACTGTTGGGTTGAGGAGCGTGAACGACACACATTGGCATTTTACTTAAGCGATCTGACCCAAAAATAAATAATGATTCATGACATTGGTCCTGAAAGCCAACATGTTAAATATACTTACTACAGCTGCCTTGTCCACTTTTAGATTTGTGATGCTCAAATTATGTTGTACTAAGCATAAAACATATTTGAGCTTCATCATAACATGAGTTACGGTGAAACTCTAAAAAAGAAAGTCCTTGTTTGTAAACAAACTGAACTAAAGCCTGACTGAAAAAACAGTGCACAATAAACAGCACCGCAGAAATTAAACATTTGTACAAGAACTCCAATACTTACCATCAGGTATGTGAACATCTTCTGTAGCTCAAACAAGGTGGTTTTGTGCTTCATGTCATCAGTATACTGTAAGACAAGATATATGCATTGGGTGATTATTTATTCATGAATGGACTGCGAATGACTAGCTGCTAATGATGATGATGACAAACATAACAATGACAACAATTAGGAGGATTATGATGATTACAAACACAAATGGCTGTTAGAACAAGGGTTACACTTTAGAATTTGTCAGACTGTTATAAAAAACGATTAAACTTTTTATATTATCAGGTAAGGCCCACTGAGCTAGATAACTCTTTTTCAGACGTGACCTGGTCATGTATGATAGCTCCACGAAGTGGCTTATCATGTGGAAAAGGTATAGAAGCCAAATACTCTAAACATATGTGGATATGTTGATTCTAAATGTGGAGGGAAAAATCCAAGCGACTACAGAGAGAGAACATTCAAACTCCAAATACACATGCGTCAGGGTCGGGATGGAACGCACGACCTCCTGCATACCAGGCGAGGGAGTTAACATCTCGCTACTGCGGCATTCATGTACGTGCCCCGTACACACATTAAAACATCACGGAAGCATAAAACACAGGCACACTGCGCAATGGGACGTGCGGCACCCACCTTGGCGGTGAAGACTGCCTGGCGAGCCTGCGGAATCATGTACAGCTGCTGGATGGTGGAGGCCATGTAGCAGGTGGCGCCCAGGTTGGTAAGGCCCACGAGGCGGCAGTCGGCGCGCACGTCATCGTGGGGCCAGTAGTCCCATTTGTACGGTGCGTGCGAGGCTGTGGAGAACGTCCCACACCGCCCCTAGGTGACGCAGCCACCAGAGAACTTGCCGCACAACCCAGCCTATCGGCAACGATGGTGAGGTAGTAAAAAAAAACTAAATTCCGTCGCTTGGAAAATACTGCTGCCATCATTGTTGGGAGAGGAACGAGCCAGGTCGCGAGGACTACTGGGATGATGTGTCGGATGAAGCTGTAGAATTGGCCACCATCCGCCGTGCCAGGACAATGGACGTTACTTTAGAGTGTTATTTTATTTGACAGTCCTTTACAGTCTACAGCTGGATGAAGGCCTCCTGAAACCATGTTGGTCATGGGGTTTTTTTTTATCATACTTCACCACACTGGTCAGTGCGGGTTGGCGAGTGGGAAGCCCAGGACTGGTTCAGATATTACTCGCTACATATCTTAGCTATGGAAGGGGCATCGAACTTCGATCACTAGGTTTAGAGAGCTGTGTCCTAGCCACAGCACAAAGTGCCCTGCCCTCGTGGGTGTCTTAATGCAAGTACCATGAACATGTGTAGGAAAAAGACCATGGGGTAAGGTTGGGCGTTAGGGACAAGGTAAAGACGAATCATCAGATGAAACTCGGTTGTCAGAGGGGGCAATATTCTTCACTACAGTGCCAATTGTGCAAGGTACAATTTCGGAACCCTGTAATTTGTGTATAAAGCAGTGGAACCCTCGATGTTATTTTTCAGGTGGTAGTATTGCCAGGAGACAGCTCTGTTGTTGAAGCACCAGGGCCCCAGTTTGTGAGATCCACAGCTTAAATCATGGCCAGGGTTTATATGGTGCATTGCCTCTCTGGGATAAATCGTATGCGCATTCAGGTGCACAGAAGTATAAACCGACTGCTCACTTGATAAAATACTATTTCATGGAGTTGTACTTAGGAATTCCACTAGAAAATCAAGATAAGCACATCCCAGTGCTCGTTAACACACATGGATGCCTTCCGTTTCTAAGCCACCCGATTATTCCAACCAGGAAATCACAAAACCTGGCGAACCCTCATGCCGGGACAACATATGATATCTCCCGCAAAATGTGCAGGTGTTTGTGGTTGTGTGCGCAAAGGGGTAGGTGCACACTCACTCTGCACGTGTTGAGCCATGACCCAGCAGTGCAGCAGGCGGTAACTCTCGGGGCAGCCCTTTACGAGCTCCACCAGGAGGTCGTAGGCAGCGCCCCGCGAACCCTGCGACTTGCACTTGGGCTGCTGGCGGTCCGCCATGCTGGGCAGCAGGAAGAGCAGGTTGAACACCTCCCTGAGGAATTCCTGCAACCCGCACCAATATCCTCCACTTAGCCTTATCGACTTTTGGGATGGTTGTTAGCGAGGACGTGGGTGCAACAGGACCCGTGTGCCTGGATGTCGTCTGCCAGCTAAGTACATGTCATGATTCATGGCTTCGTAAAATAAAATTTACTTTTACGCTCAAAATGTATCTAAAGAATGCAGAATTATGTACCAAGGAATGTATGACTTATGCAACTTCAACGTACTTGCATTTAGACTAACGGAACAAAACATTCAGAAGATAATACAAATCAAACAGTAGAAAGAAGCCAAAATATTATCAATTGTGGAATCTAATCGTGACCCTGAACTGAGCCATATCATCGAATCGTAGAAGGGAAAAGTGAATTTTAACACGTCTACCAGGTAGTCAATTTAGGCACTCGCGCCGGCTCCCTTGAGCCGACTGACCTGGCCGTCCCGTGTGAACTTGAACGCCGGTTTGTGCTTCATGACGGCCGTGCACAGCTTGAGCAAACCAAGGAGGCCCTCGTCCTCCATGCTGCTGTCCCTCTGTTCCACGATCTCCCGGCTGCAAAACAATGTAAACCGAGCAGTCCCCCCATTTTAGGCTGTGGAAGACTTTGGCAAAAGGAAGAGAAAAAAAATCTTCACGTTTGGGGTGACCAGAGATGGAATACAGTCCTGTTATTCATATATACATAAATGTCATATGTAGGTTTAACTATAATGATAACTCACCTCTGTATGCAGTCCGCCAGATGTCTAGCCATGGCATCTAGGTCCACCAGCGTTACCTGCAAAGCAGCACACATGAAAATAGCCACCAATTGTGTCACTAGTGTACGAGCCATGATGGATGCAATGTCAGGACCATCCAAGGAAACAACAATAATCAGAGCGACCACACTCCAGCATTTCGACAGGGTTACAGTGAGACATTTTGGCTGGACCAAGGTCATAAAAGCAGCACCTGGTTGGTGTCCTTCACGTGGATGTTGTTGATGAGCTTCCCGAGCAGCCAGAAGTAATCCTTGCAGCCTGGCCGAATTCCCAAGTCCTCTTCATCTTCATCCAAGTTCTGTGAGCCATACACGAGCAGAATTTAACCATGGATGAAAAGCTCCATACCCACTAGCACACCGATAAATGCACAGCCTCACGTAGTTTTCTATCTGGAATCATCGCTTCTGCCGAGGATGTACCAAGTCTATGTTGGAGATGGAGAAATGTGGCATGTAGTCTTTAGGATCTTTGTTCGATTTACAATTCATAAGGGGAAAAATTAGTCTGCTTTGGGTGAACTACACAGGCCTTAAGTTAATAGGAACTGCATGCATAAAAATGTCGTCTTTACATTGATACGCTACCACTTTGTAAAACTCCCATTATTGCAAATTAATCTTAGCCAATTTCCAAGCAGACACACTCTGGCTTGCTTGCTGGCACAAATGCCCAACACCTTAACGGGGCGCATGGCCTGAGCGTCCGGCAGGAACTTGAGCAGCGTGGAGACGGCGAGGAGCAGGAAGGAGCGGTCGGCCGAGTCTCCGCCCTCGAGGCGCGTGACACACAGCCGGTAGAGGCTGCTGGCCGCCTCAGAGCGCACCGCCACCTGCGCACAGGGCAGCACACACCACTCTGCGAGTGAGAGTCCTCGTCCGTCACAGCCGGTGACTCTCAGTTTCCCGGAGTTCTAACGGAGCCTATTGAATGCCCTGCCTGTGTAGGCTTGGCTTTGGATTTTTCCGACGATGTGGTTGGCAAATAGTTTTTAACAGTGCGGAATATATGCCATGAACGTGATAAGCCGCGTTTGCTGTTCAAAGTGATATGCCAAAGATACATAACTCAAGTAGCATCTGAGCGCTTTACTTTTCTTATGCAGTGTTTATTTAAATTTGTGCCACACTTGGTTACACATCCATGACCAGTCGGAGTAAAACAAATATTAAGCGAATTACTTTAAGTGACAACAAAACAAGTAAATGCATTTTAACACGTAGGCTTTCGCGACCAATGTTATTCATAATCAACGATTTTTGGGTTTAGATCGCGTTTATTTATAAATGTGTCGTAACCCTCCACCACCCGACACGGCCAATCAGTAAAAAATGTGTCACGTTGACAAAGACAAATAGTTCACTGCTTTAGCCCACCGGTGTGTTGAAGCAACAACATTCACAATTTGAGTACGACGTTTCGCTGGTAATTACAACCAGCATCATCGGGCAATTCGCCAGAATGGTGAGGCTCTCCTGTGTCTCCCGTTCTTATATAGAGCAGCAGCAGGATGACGTCATCATTAACTCATTAACTCATCAGGTGCAAAGATTCAAGGGGGGAGTGATTGTAATTATATACTAGATTAGTAATCAGGCTATTGTTACGATGCGAGTTGTAGATTAGTAATCATTTGGAATGTGTTTTATTGTGATTATGCTACATTAGTAATCTGTTAGTGGTTGTTTCCCTTATAAGTAATTGTAATGTATCTTATTTAATAATACGCTTCCAGGCCGCACTAAGCCTGTAGCTGTCTGAGCGATTAAAGTTATTTCTGTTTCTCTCAATTTCAATCGATTCTCTAATTAGTCTTTGCCAGTAGTAACTAGTTTTACACAACACTTCCACGTTGTCAAAATCAATTGAGTGTCCCTGTTGGCATGCATGTTCTGCTACTGCCGACAGTTGTGTTTGTGATAGTTTAATATTTCTCTGGTGTTCTTTAAGTCTTACACTAACGTTACGCCCTGTCTGTCCAATATAGCATCTGCCACATACACAATTAATCCGATATACACCTTCTGTTGATAATTTAGGTAATTCGTCTTTAGTGCACGTTACTAGTTGTTGAATTTTGTGTACTGTACCAAATCTTACTGTAATGTTTTGCTTTTGCAAAACACGGGCTAATTTATCAGTTACTCCTGAGATAAATGGTATTTTTATTGTTTTAATAATCTGATCGCTTTCAGCAGTGTTGCTTTGCGATCGTGATTTGGCTTTTAGTGCTCTGTTAATTTGAGCATTATTGTAGCCATTCTGTCTTAGTGCTTCTTTAACATGTTTAATCTCTCTCACTAGACTTTCACCATCTGACACTGTTTTAGCCCGATGTATGAGCGTCTTGATAAGAGAGGATTTCTGAGCTGGGTGATGATGCGAATCTGCATTCAGATAGGCATCAGTGTGCGTTGGCTTTCTGTAAACGCTGTGTGTTATTTTACCGTTTGGGCCATGCCCAAGTAAAATATCCAGGAACGGGAGTGTGTTATTCACCTCCATTTCCATGGTGAACTGAATGGCCGGGTTTTGTGCATTGAGATGATTTAGAAAATCGTTAAGTGTATCTTTACCATGTGGCCAGACAACCAAAGTGTCATCCACATATCTAAACCAAAAGGATGGTTTTAATGTGCTCGAGGCAAGTGCTCTGGTTTCAAAGTTTTCCATGTACAAATTTGCTATAGCAGGAGATAAAGGAGAGCCCATTGCTGCACCTGATGAGTTAATGAGTTAATGATGACGTCATCCTGCTGCTGCTCTATATAAGAACGGGAGACACAGGAGAGCCTCACCATTCTGGCGAATTGCCCGATGATGCTGGTTGTAATTACCAGCGAAACGTCGTACTCAAATTGTGAATGTTGTTGCTTCAACACACCGGTGGGCTAAAGCAGTGAACTATTTGTCTTTGTCAACGTGACACATTTTTTACTGATTGGCCGTGTCGGGTGGTGGAGGGTTACGACACATTTATAAATAAACGCGATCTAAACCCAAAAATCGTTGATTATGAAGTAAATGCATGTTTGTTCATTGGCGGTCCTTTAAAGATGTGAATGAGCAGTGTGAGCGCACAGTTGCAAAAATCGAAATGTACCAAACTGGGCCCAAGGCATTATCTGCTTCATTAGGCAAACTCAGATGGGAAGGCTCAGCAAGCAACCCGGCTTGTGAAACGCTCTTAATGATCACGTTATTAAGACACAAACAGTGTACCTACCACACACCAGTGGGCATTCCAGCGAATACAAATTAAAAGAATGGGCTCAATGTATGAGATAACTAAAAAACGATTGCACAAGCAAAGCAGTTATGATGGAAACAAACAACACCTCCCAATGCTTCAAATTTCAGGCCACAAATGTACACACAAATGTAGATTGAAAAAATCATCTCAATCTGACGGCCTGGGGATTTTAACTAGTAACTTGGTTATTGGCAAAGGGTGTTCTGGACTAAGGCACAGAACAGAATAAATATACCTCAAAGAAACAAACCAATGTCACATGCACTAAACGAAATTCCCAATAAATATGCAGCAACGCCTACATTAAAGCTATGGTGGTAACTTGCAGAGCACTAATCCATGTTTTACAGGGGTTATTTACCTTTGAGCCCCCCAACTCCACGCATAATTCCATTTCCCTTTGCTAGACATCCTATTCGTTACGCATTCAAAAGCCAATTAACAAGCGCAGACTATCACACACACCCCTGCAAGCACAGCCATCCCCAACCTCGTCTTTTGGATGGCAGCCACTGGGGAAGAAAGATTAAAACCGTGCCCAGCACCGCAAACGTCTACCATCTGTGCTACAATTACAACCTGCCGTATCAGGCCCCTGCCATCTGTTACTCCCAGCTGCTGTGCGGTTCGCCTGCAGTGCACGTGCTGATGAATGGAGCTTGTTTACCGCGTCACGTCGCTCGTCAATGGGCAACAACCTACTTAGGATTCTGTATGCTTAATGAGCACTCCAGTTTTCAATCAGACACACACACAGAAATTGAAGTGCATTACTTACAAGAGTGTACCATACCTACAGAAAATAACATAAACATTATTGCTGTATTGTTTAACCTTTTACCGTGGAACAGCATTGTAAATGAAATGTAAACTGAAGGGAAAGGTGCAAGAGGTTAGCCGAATATGCCCACAGCGCAACCAAACCCGCCAGATGCTTGATCATTAAATGTACACCACAAGAAATATTTAATGGCAGCCTCCGAATTGGTGGACTTAAAAAACACATGGCGTGGACGCGCAAATGTGTGGGCCCCAGCAGCTGTCAGCTAATGGCGACACACATCTTGCTTGGCAGAGACGTAGGGAGAATGTGTCTCCATGCAGACATCGACGCATTCAACAGACAGTCCGGCGCTGTTAAAGCCGAGTGTTTCATGCCGTCATTGTTGGTGGATAAAATTTCACGACACGATGTATAGAGGCGCACATTCTATTTGTTTTGTTTACAATACTTTGGCAACGTATAATGCCAACACAGATGTTCGCTTTCAAATTCACCTTGTTATGTATTGTGACATTATAAGTCAGCAAGGTCGGTGTGGTTGGAACTCAGCACAGAGGGGTCTCTTCCACCACCTCCCCTTACCTAACCAGTGCTTGTTTATAGTTCTTGGAAGTTCGACTGCTCCCCTCTCCATGTAAAATTTGTTTGTCACTTACAAAGAGACTCATAGTTTTAATGTGCTCTCACCTGTTAAATAGAAAAATGGAATGCCAAAAACGAATATCTTCCATTTCCAAGTACTGCAAATGAATGCATTCTTAATGTATAGATTAGTCCTCACACAAGACGCGAGAAAATGTCAAGTAAATGTAACAATATCTCCTGCAATCCTTTGCAGCAAGTGAGTCTCACATGTCTCACGTGCTGATGGGTAGATAAGGTGACCAATGACAAAATCGCACATGTACTTAATCATAATATAAGAGAGGGGGGGGGTGTGTAAAAAATAATGTAAAAATAGCCGCGACAGCTGTCGCTGTCGTTAACGAAACGAACCTCTGGCGCTAGCAGCGTGAGCTTGCAGAGCCAGTCCTGCAGCGTGCCGTTCTCCGCCAGGCTCTCCTTAACGGCGGGACAGCCGCTCGACCAGCTGACCAGCAGCCACATGGCGTAGTGAGTCACTGCAGACGGCACAGGCACGACATCACCACGCTTCCAGCCACTGTATAAACACCGTGGGTGAACAACCGATGTGTGCGTTTCACTGGCCGAATTACCCCCCACCCCTCTTCTTGTGTGAAGTATGTTTTGTTTCCAGTAGTTTACAAATGTACATCCTCTATTCTCGAGCTTACACGACTGGATTAAATGTATCTCCATTTTCGTACGAGGGAAATATTAATGCAAGTTGACTGCGCAGACGGGACAGGCAGCTGCTACAAGCTCTGCAACCAATTTAAGAGCGCTCTTGGCCTCTAAACATTTGCTCAATAACAGCAATGTGTGCAACAAGGGTTTCAACACCATCTATCAACAGATGTGGCACATGCAAAACATGTGCGAAATTTGGGGTATTTCATTATAATTTGACATGACGACTACATGTGTATTAATATTTACAAAGCACCGACAGTTAAGAGTATAATAATTATCTAACGACAGTTTAAAATCACTTGGCAGGTAACGAGACAAGTTTCCATTTTAATCTTGAATAATCACCTTCATGCCTGGACTTGTAATCAGACTGTGCCTTCAGCATCCTGGAAGGAAATCATACAAATATCTCAGAGCCAATAAGTCATCTTCAACATTAATCAATTTATATCTGATGTACAATGTGCGGTATGTACACGTTACATGATTAAATGAACAATGATTGTAGTGTGTGCCTGCGATGAGTGCAGGCACAGCCAAACTATATAATAACCGGTTACCTTTGAGGCAGATTGTCATATGTATACGCCACAGTCATGAGGTGCTTCAGGAGGTCGGTTCCATTCACGAGGTTTAGGAAGGTCTAACACAAACGCAGAGACATAACCCAGCGTTTGTTAAGCATCGTTCTCTGTTGACTCGTGCTGCATTTCTTTAGGCCATACAAGTGAAATAAAAGTTTCAAAATTTTAGAATTTTTTTTATTCGTTATCGACAGCAACATCGACACAATGCATTACGGCCAAAGAACACAATGTTAAATCCAACAACACGTACATTTTGCCTAAATATAAAGCAAGCTGTCAATAATAGCAAGCCATTCATATTTAAAATCCAATAATAATATTACATTCTCCACCAACCTGCACTCACCAGCAATTAATAAACAAAAAGCTGTACAATAATATTACATTACTATTACATGACTGCCACATACACCTTTGATTTCACCACTCCACAATTATGATAACATGCTACATGGCCACGGCCCTGAACCCCTTCGACATGAAAAAACTATGAAGCCCGTGCACTGGAGGAAGGAAGCTGGCACACCTCGGTGAGCCGCGGGATAACGTGGGTGCCCTTGCCGTGCTCGCCCGAGCTCTTGCGGGGTTTCCCGGCCCAGGCACGCTTGCGTGGTGCCTCCGAGGCGGGTGACCAGGCGAACACATCCACGTATGCCACGTCAAAGTCCACCGGCTCCACGGCGAACTGGCAAACCAGCTTCAGCAGGCATGCCAGGCAGTCCAGTTGCCACTGCATTCACCCCACCAAGTGCCGGTCGGCCAAGCACAGTTCAAGAAAGGAAGACGGATTAAATAAACAAGTTAGGAAAAAATAAAGCACGTGGATGGATTATGCGATTGCTATCCAACATGCTTTGGTTTGGCAATGAGCAGGGTGGAAGCCCGCAATGCGTAGTGTCAAAACAAAATGCGCTGCCTGTGTATTTGCAAATAGTCCATGTGCTGTGATTTGGTCTCTCCAAGTTTTGGGCAACTATTTGATCGATTTGGCTGGTTTTCATTATGGCAAGTCCCTAATAGCAATACAATAGTTATGCAAAAATGTAATTCATATTGGATCATCTTTACGAGAGTTATCCATCCATCTGTAATGGCTGGATGGATGGCCAGAGCTAATGCTTTCAAACTTAGTTTGAAAGCAGTAATAACACCTGTCAGAGATATCCTCCATTGTACTTCAATTACCAAATTTCCCATAATGCAGTGATAGGAATGCACGGTGACCACGCTGTTGCACACGTGCGAGTAACTGAGAAATATGTATGTGTAAGTGAGATGGTCGGGAGTGCCACTAGCATGGTAGAGATGACAATGAGTGGATGGCTTTGCAAGAAAGGAGCGAGGGGACGGGACGGTGCTCACCACACTCCACGGCTCGGCTTCCTTGGGCTCCAGTGTCCCAGAGAGCAACATTTCCAACAGGAGTTCAAGCCCACCCGATGCTATGAACTGTTCGGACAGAAAAAAAGTAACTCACTTTAATCGGAACCCAAAAGCATGCAGTATACACCAGATACAGATTCAACATCTAGAATTCTACTACGAGTATTTTGTTTACAATATATATGAGCAGTGGCAATGAGAGGCACCTTGCTGGTCCAGCTGCTCTTGCTATTCTCCATGTGGCTGTCGGTGGAGTCGTCAGAGTCAGGGTACAGGTCACTGTAACTGCCCTAGAATACACAACGCAGGTAACACAGAGGTTCAACAACATGTTGCCTACCAACCCCTAAAATCCAGTACATTATCGTCAATCACACTATAGCGTACACTGCCAAATAGTTGTGCGTGATTTAACATTCATCAGGAATACAAAGACAATCGTATAAGTACAGTATTGCACTGTGGGCTATAGGCTGACCGAAGAAACTGTTCGTATTCGACGGCTTGGCTTGCTAAGGGCCTCGATGATCTCCAGGGCATAGAGCAGCTTGTGGGGGCTCCTCAATCGCAGCAGGTCCTTCCACCGCACATCCGCGCTGGCCTGCACACACAGGCGACGGACGGAATGACAGCACAATGTCACTTTGCACATTGGGGGCAGCAGCGCCACTGTTTAAACAAGAGCTCGCAGTTCGTTTCGCGCCAGCTCAAGAATGCGGAATCATTCTGCGCGGGTGCGAGTACCTCCTCGTTGGAAATGTTCTGGAACGCCTGCAGCATGCTGGGACAGGTAGGAAGCAGCATGAGCAGCTCCCACACTCGGCGTGACAGGTGCTCCGCATGGAGCTTCAGGTCCTGCACAAATAAGGCCCGTGTTGTGACCGTCGCACTTATGTTTGGGAAATAGCAAGGGATTTACCAAGTAAATTAACATTAGGCATGTAAACATTGACCCCTAAGCGATTCAATGGATTCTCAATTATTCAAGATTTCGATTTTATTCTAGAAAAATTATTTTTTATATTGTTTTATATCGTGTAATTTGTATTGTTTGTTTAGACTCACATGGACTGTTCTGTTTACTCCATTAGCCTAAATGCAAAATTATGATTTGCATAAAATCAATCATTATCACATGTACGATTCAATGCTTTTGTCTGGAGCATACGAATCAATTTCAATGTATCGTGAAATACCTAATCAGCATTAACAAGAAGAACAAAGAGACCTGCAGAATCATATGAAACCAGAGTACAATCAATCTTGATTTGAAGCTTTCGTGACTGCAGGAATCCATACTTTTTGGTTCTTTCGGTAAAGTCACGTAGGTAGAAAAATAAAAGATCACGATGTTTCGATCGCCACACAAGAAACCGTCTCCCACCTGAAGACGGTCGCTTGTGTGGCGATCGAAACGTCGGGATCTATTATTATTTTTCTACCTACGTGACTTTACCGAAAGAACCAAAGAGTACAGAGTACAATCTTAAGAGAGGTACAAGTAACAAATGTGTAAACAGTGTATATATATTAATAATTTGCACGACATCAATTAACAGTATATTCACAAAGCACGTGAGTGGTACACACTTGGGCTTCCTGAGCGCTCTGCTCGCCGCTGGTTGGGTGGAAGGACATGGCGAGCTTGTTGGCGCATGCCTCTCCGTTTGACTGTCGCAACAGAGCCTCCACAGAGGCCACGACTGATGCCGTTGAACACGATGACGAATCGCCACTGCTGCCACCACCAACGCAGACTTCCTGATCTGCCGCGGAGGGTCGCAGAGACGCCAGCATCTCGAGCAGATCAAAGAGGGCGGTGAGCGGCTGTTCCTGCAGCAGGAGGATCATAGGAATATTCTCCTTCTGAGGAGGCGGCAGGCACGAGGCGGGCAGCTGCAAGCCGTCGCCCTTCCTCTCCCGCCGAGGTGCTCCCAGGGACACAAACACCATCTGTGGTGAAGAGACACGAGGCTAAGAGGCCTTGACAAGGCAGGAAGGTGATCGCACGGTAACTCGGAGAAGATTTACAACCAACCACATGCCCGGAGACAACATATGGGACACATGTAACCACGTAGGTTTCAGTAACCTTCAGCCAGGATATATATACAATTCTTAAATAAATAAAAATACCGATCTATATTTCAAGAGACAATTAGCTATAAACATCTGAAATGAGGTAGATAATGCATATGAAGCCGCATTAGCAAGTAATGTACATATTGACTCAATCTAGGAAGGAAATAGATGAGTGGGTTTTACTGAGCGCCTTAAACATTCACCACACAATCTTCCTTTTCTGGTAAATCGCCTGATGAAGCGGGTTATAATCACTAGTGAAACATCGTTCTCAAAAATTGTAAATGTTGTGGGTTTACTCTTGAAAACACAGGTGCGCTGAAGTAGTAATTAATTGGCACGTTTTGTTTACGTGACAAACCATACTATTTTCCTGTGTCGGGTGGTGGTGGCTTAATTACACATTTATATTTACACAATCTAACCCAAAATAAATCCCTTTATGATGGATGATATTGGTCGCAATAGCCTGTGTTAAACTAACGATCTTCCTGTTCGCCACTGCACCTGCATGTCCTTGAAGCCAAGGACGTGGAGTGTTTTTTCATCATAGTCTGTCGTGAGCTCGTGTCCAGACGAGATCATTCGCACAGGCCCCATCAGTCCGCCTGCACACCAAGTTAGAGAAAGTGGTTTAAATAACAGTCAAACGTGTCTCTCATTGTACATGTCTCTCATACGTATTATATTTTATTAAATGCTCTGAGCAGGCATATGCTAATGTTCCACACACAGAACACAATAACACAACACATCTTTCCCAGTGATGCCAACCAACATGTGGCTTGTGTGCCAGAGTTTTCAATTGCCCGAGCACTTGCTGGAGGTGGTGTGCGTGACTTGCCGAGCTGAGCCTCACCGTGGTAGTCGCCGTGGCGTCCCGAAGAGCCAAACTCCTGCACCTGCGCCTGCTGGCTCATCTGCTCCTTGAGCAGGCTCTCGTACCAATGCGTGACCTCGGCACGCAGGTCCGCCACTTGGTCCGTCGGGAACATCTCGATGGTCATCTGTGAAGAGGGCGAGTGGCCAGGTGGCTCAGTGATACGGTGATCGCCAAGGGGAAACGAGTAAACCACCCTTGCTTCACTGGCGAAAGTGGAGCCAGCAGACAAAGCTAGTGAGGTCTCACAGAAAGGATTAACGGATTTAATTGCAGATAGAACACTGCCAGTAGAAGCACAATAACAGGCCCCCTCTGAAGGAAGTCAGCTGCACAAGGCGGATTGGTTGCCAGAACTTTATTGTTTCGTGTACGAAGACACTCGGCTAGAATAGCGTAAAAGAGGAAAAGAAAAATTTCATTTCCTTTGATTCACATTATTTGTACCGAAAGCTCTATTGCTTCAAAGTTGTTTTGCACAGATGCTGTTTGCCATCGACCACGCATACACAAACATAATCCAATGAGTCCGTGAGATGAAAATATACATTCACAAGAATCAAGACTCCAGTGGCTTCATCATTGTTAAGGTTACGGTCTACGATTGCTACACATCATGTTAAATAAGTAACTTCAAAGCAAATGTCTTTAAATTATTTACAGATCACAAAAAAAATCAAGGTTGGACAAATTAAACTAAAATAAAAACATACAAATATTCAAAGAAGAAATGGAAAAACATCCCAGGGGGGAGGGATACAAAGGACTTCAAGTAAAATTAATGGATTACTTTGACTATTATAAGCCTATAACTCTTGGCTTAAAGCTTTCATGACTGCAGGAATTCATAATCTTTGGATCTTTCGGTAAAGTCACATAGATAGGTTAAAATCAATACAAATAAAATAAACAAAAAACTACGATTTTAAATATTAATGTGAACAATTTATGTCATGAACAAAGTTGCAATGTTAGGCTCGAGATAAACGATAAAAAAAGTCAGGGAGAAGTTTGCTCAAGCAAATTAAGATATTTGTTTGAGGATACAAGTGGAAACATAGCATAGAATGAATACCTCGGGCAAAACTTGGAAGGTGAATGAGGAAAAATAGATAAAATAAAGAAGTAAATGAGAATATGATGGAGTGCATCAGGAAAACAAAACCCTATCATAAAAAGCAATAGACCATTATAAACATGGACATCGATATAACAATATAACTTAAGCTGAAAAGTGCACAAATAGCTTGGAATAACTCTGATAGTCAAAGAAAGGAACATACGGATGATAAATTAAATTATTAAGAGACATCATAATGACTCTTAAGGAAAATAAGTGGGCTTTGTCCAGTTGAGACCGAAGAGAGTGACCACTGTGAAGATGGAGCAACGACATCACCTCATGTGCTGGTAATTGATTGCTTGCAACATCACGGAACCGTGAGGTCTGGCAACGAGTTGAGGAGGTCTTCCTTTACCAGTGCAAAGGATGACCAATAATGATGATGAATATTATAAAAGTATAGCAATATCTTTTGGGTGAGGGGGGGGGGCAGAAAAGAAGAAAACTCCCAAACCATTCAGAACCCGCTGCAAATTCTTCTTACCTTGTCGGGCAGGCCGGCTGGCTGACACACAATGCGGATGGGCATGGACTGCTTGTCGCTCAGTGCTTTCTGATGGCTGCTGATGCCGTGTCCCTCTATTTGCCACTGCCGCAAGTGGTACGCAAACCTGTTGTGTTGGGGGTTCAGCGGGTGAGGAGGAGACGACACGGACATGGCTACAACCACCTGGCACAGAAACCACCGAGGCGTCCTCTCGCCCAGCACGAGGACAGGATGGTACTTAACGACTACACGCATGCTCTGCCAAAGCCAAGGCCTGCATCTGACACCAGCTGTAGACACATAATTAACCATGGCTCAAATCCAACTGTGTTAATTCAGCCTTTGCAGGCTGCTGCGTATTTTTTTCTGAATTACTGTCTGTATTATTAAAATGAGTGCTAGTCAGTTTAATCAACAAGATTGAGATAAGCACACACTTTATTTAGAATTCCAAATTTACGTGCTCTATTGTTCAGCTGAATATGTGAAGCCTGGAATGGATTAATATACATTTGAATGTGTACTTCTAGAACAAAAAAATATCTGCATCTGTTCAATAAACGAAACAATCCCAATTAACGTCATTGGAGTGGGTGGCAGTATTTCAAGCCATTCTGCATTTACTTAGTGTACCTACTATGCCACACACAGCAGGCAGGGCTTACCTCCGCTTGAAGGCTTCCAGGTGGGTCTTGAGTAGCAAGAGGCCTCGCTCGATGACCATGAGGCTGGAACGGGGGTCCAGGGCCAGGCTGTTGGAGGCCTCCGTGAGGCTCTCCATGCAGCGGTTGATGAACTCTTGCTCCCGCTCCAGACCACTCTTTCCTAAAAAAACATACAAGTGTCGCACAAGCACAAACAACAGCACGTTCCAACCTGGCCATGGAAACACAAGAGGAGCCATGGGTGCCACACCAATAATTAGCTGTGACTAATGAGCTATCAGAAGAAATACAAGTTGCTCTTTCTGGGCATTTTCATGAGTTTTTTTAACGAGTTGCAGTACTGAAATAACGATTTCATGTCCAACAGGCCAGTGTGCAGTATCGATACACTGTAGCTCTCGACGTCTGCTGGCCAATATTCTTAATGCATCCTCTCACCAGCTCAGCCGAAACAAATCAATGACAAAAACAAACGAGTTCTCAGTGTGATTAGAAATCACGTGGGGGACACTGAAGTGGCAGGGGTTGCTGCTTTACCATTGATGTAGTAGGAGTTGATATACTGCACGGCTGCACGGCTCACATCCACCTTCTGCGCTCGCAGTGCGATCCCCCAAAGTTGGTCCATCCCACACGGCTGTGAGAAACGGCAGAATGGTGTTAAAATTGAATATCCCACATAAGCATTTATGCAGGCCCAGCAACGGCAAACAATACAAATTATCTCTATAATTCATGCATTCACTTTCATTTCAACACTAGTACATGACTATTTGGATTTAACATGCACACGAGAGATTATTACATTTCAATACTACATGGACACAGCATGGGAAATGCTGGTTTAAAAAAACTCAAGAGACATTGTAAATACTTTTTTCCAAGGACATGTTATATATTGTGCTCTTTAACAAGCTAGTGGATACCAAAACCATAAGCACATGTACCCTTGTAAAAGCAGCATGAGTAACTCTTGTCCCAACACAGCACAGGAAACAAGACTGGTTATATTTCTCCTACCCGACTACCTCACATACATCAATAACAAAATGCCAATTCTTTACCAGGAAATGTTCAACAAGTCTTTAAGATATATTTTTTAGAACGATCCTATATTGAAATGTTTGGCCAATTACAGTAACAAGTTTGGGATATGGGAGGAAACTAAGGTATTAAAAGCAAACAAGCCCACATACAACAAGGGGGTCACACTCGGCATAACCATCTCCTGGCCTCCCCTCAGAGCTACAGGCCCTATTGCCACCTGGCAAGATGGCATTACCGTAGTGTTTTTGGTCCCATAGCTTGAACAGGTTCAGCGGGAGTATGCTAATAATTATGAGTTGTTCTTTGATCAATCAATTAACACCATCCCCACTGTAAACAAACCAAGGGAGGCACCTCGGTGGAGGAGGAGCCGTCGTAGGCGCTGCTCGCGAGACGTGCCAGGTTGCAAAGTTGCTGGAAGAGGTTGAGCCCCGTCATGCTGATCGTCTCCGGCTTCAGCTGCGGCATCTGGGATAGGGAGCAGCACACACAAGAAAGATTTTCAGTCAGTCCTGTGATGACATATACAGATCGCGGAGACCCATCACTTAACGTGCACCTTGCTTCACGTTGTTCACAAATGCAATGTAGCTAAACATATAGGCTTTCGCGACCAAAATATCCACGAAAGGTGTATATGGGTTACATCGTGTAAACATAAATGTGTCGTTAAGCCCGCCACTACTCGACAACCAATTAGTCAAGTTTGTGACCTAAACAAAACGTGGCAATTAACTTTGAGCAGTCGATAATAGGTACTGTATATTCTCTGCATACTCTTATATCAACATCATGTATGTATGTTGATTAACCGTGAATAACCTAACCAATAATAGGTAATGCATTTTCTATGATTAACATAATCCATTATAACTTATATGACTATAATTAGCCTCTCCTCTGGTCTTTGCACCTGATAGGCCCACAGTGATGACATCACCTTTATTCCCCTATTTAAAACAGAAACAGGAGGATGTCTTCACAATTCTGGCTATCACCTGATGAAGCTGGTTGTAATCACCAGTGAAACGTCATACTTGAATTGTAAACGTTGTGGGTTTACTCTCCAACACACCGGTTTGCTGAAGTAGTAACTATTTGGCACATTTTCAATGTGCCAATCAATATGATATTGTATTTATAATGATATTGGTCACGAAAGCCTACATGTAAAATTGGCACATTTGGTTAACATAACAAACCTTACTAATTGGCTGTGTCGGGCGGTGGCGGGTTTAACGACACAATTATATGTACGCGATCTAACCCAAAAAAACTTAAATCTTTATTATGGGCAATGTAGCGAAGTCGTAATGAAAACAACAAAAAAAGCACAGCCTTTTTTTCAAATCATTGCTGGATGAAGCCTTCCCCATGCTCGTCACAAAAGGGTTATTTGACCATAATTCACCACGCTGGTCTGTGTGGGTGGGTTAAGATGGGGGGGGGGGGAATCCATGACTAGTTCAGATAACTCATAATTTATCTTAATTATGTAGCTTATCGTAATGTTATCTACATGTCAATTGTGCGAGAAGCATCTTTCGATGCGATATGTGCATTTGGAACTTAGAGGGCAGTGCACGTTACAGAATGGCCACTGGAAGATGGCATCACAGAAATACTTATTTTTGATGGCCCATTATCCAGATTATGTGGTGGCACCTTTTTACTTTGTCAGGTCTTGAAATAAATGAAAATCAAACCAATTTTTCTAATTTGCCATATTTACTTTAAACCAATTAAAACATTTATAGAGTAATTTATTATTTCCGATACCTTGAAATTACCACAATGGCACCTTAAAGCAGCTGTTGATAAAAATCAAAAGCAAAAACATCTCTGCCACCTTTTTCCCCCACGCATGTCAGACGCATATAGAGACCCATACAAAATCCCAACCGAGGGCACACACAGGCCAGCGGAGCCCAGTTGACACCAGACCACCCACCTTCTCCAGGAAGATGTGCTTGTAGGTCTCGATGCCCATGGCGTGCTGATCCTTGCTGCGCACCTGGTTCAGGAACCAGTGGAGGGCGTCATCTGAGCACTCGAGGTCAGTAACCAGACAGTTCCACAGGATGTCCACTTGCTCCAGACTCAGCCCTGCACACACATGCACGCACTACTAGATGTGCTTGCGCAAGAGCCACTTGCTACGATTCACATTTGCACACACTAATTCCGTATAGATGGTTGATGGATACATTAAGAATGAGTGTAAATACTGTAGTGCTGTCAAACAGAAGATTTATTCTATTCAAGGTAAATGTTCAAGCTTAAATATTGTTTGCATCCAAGAGTCCAAATATGACATGCCACTTAATTGTATCTCCAATGTTACATTGCTAGCAATCAGCTGCACATCTCTTTGAAAGGTCAGGTTTTATTTACGAAGATAAGACTGAAGATATCTCGAGAATAACTTACTGAAGTTGTCTGGAGATCCCAGTGTGGAGAAGACACAAGTGAGAAACTGCAACCGAACTTGAACCTCGGTGCCGTGGCTATATCTGCAGTGAAGGACAGATGGTTAATGTGCATTAGTGACAAAATCCTATTGTTGACACAGGTAAGATCTTATAGGTAGAAAATATTATTAGATGGAGTGGTGGCGCAATGGTTAGCATGCTGTGCTATGAACCCGGTGAACCCAAGTCCTGGCGACAGCTGCTGACTTTGGTGGCAAGTGACATCTGAACCAGTCCTGGATCCCGCACTTTAACAAAAGTCAAACAGCTCCCATGATCAACAGGGTGTGGGGAGGTCTTCATCCAGCAGTGGACTGATAAAGGGCTGTAAAAAGTAGCTTAAGCTCTCTCTGCCAAAGACACATAACTCATTATTCTTAAGTCCACAGCAATGAACTGAACAACATGATTTTCATCCACAAATAATCACACAGAGAAAATGCATATTGACACACAAACGATAAAGAGTTTTTGAGGTCGTACAGAGTGTGGTGGTGCCTGTCCTCCTGTACGGCTTGAATGTACTCCATCACGTTGTCAAAAAAGAGCTTCATCATGTGCAGCTCCTTCTCGGCCCACCTGACCGGCAAACAAACCACAGCAATCAGTGCCAGAGCAGTTTATGATTAAATACGCACAAAAGCAATGATCCTACACAGCAGGTTCAACCTGGCTGGACAAGTTCATGGAACTTCAGTTGGTCATGAGTGTCACTTTATTCTAAATCAAACATAGCCCTTCAGATTTGAGAACCAATTGAGCAATCAAGCCAGCAACCGGCAATGAGCAAATGTGGCTACAAGTAGACCGTGAGCAACAGCTAAGTCAGGCAGAAGGCCAAAGGAAAACACATTAGTATTCTTGAGGACACATGGGCACAACTTCAAGAGTTAAAAAAATTGGAATGAGAAAAAGGATATTTGTTCCAGCTGGCTCATCTCTATAAATTCAAATTCTCCTTTGTATTCTTTTAATGGCCCACAAGAAAGAAACTGTATTAAATTAATTATAAATTCAACACAAAAATTGTCTGGGGATAGTTTATACCTTTTAGTGAAATAGACTCTGCCAGAGTGGCAAGGCTCCTGTGAATAAACAGACTGCATGCAATCATCGTCTCCATGTATCTTATAAGCTGCACTACCATGAGATTTAATTATATACACATTGTATTACACATTTTTACCGCACCTCCTATTATCACGGTTGGCTACGTATGTGTGAAAGAAGTTCAACATACATACATACCATCATACATAACGTATTATCAGAATCAGAATCTTTATTTAAACAAGAATAATCCAATGAGATATGAAGCTCTTTATCACAGATGTCCAGTCAGGGCGGGTCAGCAAGTTAGCGCACACGTAAAACACAACAGCCCCTTAAAAACAGATAAAGAAGATCGAAGACAAATTAAAGTGAACGTACATTGTGATCCAATGGGTGTCGTAGCTGCTACCGTACTGCTGGAACGTTCCAAACAGCTTGGGCAGGAGACGCAGCGACACGACCACAGACCTGCAGAGGATGGACACACACACTCACGATGAGCAAGCGCGGCAGTGTCGACCGTTGCCCGTGGGCTTGGAGAGATCGTCAGACGAGTTACAGTCAGGGGACAACAAGTTCCACGCGGATACATTTCATCACGAAGCTGGAACAACAAAGGGCTGTGCAACCTAACTGAAAACAAATAAATCACCACAGCGTGACTGCGCGCATGATCAGATTACATTTCCTCAGAATACATAAGATGGATTTAAAGTTAAGGGTTTTCTGGCGAAGGCCGTGGATTTAGGCTCTTTTGCTAATCATCGGGGAGCAGATTGGACCTGCAATACAAAGGTAGCCATTTCAATTCGATCTAATGATGCCGCAGTTGAAAAAACTATTCAGGTTTCTTAAACCCCGCTGCATCTGTCCAGCCAGCAGTATCAATGGGTACACCACAGTTAGTCAATCGGCAGTTCGTAAGTGGTGGGTTAAAGTGTGGGCAGTTCCACCTATTCAAAGATGTTTGCCCAGCATGGAATCGTAGGCCTAATACCCTCCCAGAGGGGCTACCATATCCCCTCTAGTGGAGGCTCTTCTGCCAGCAGTCGCATACGACAGCTATTTCAGGGCTACACACCTTTACAACCTAACAATGTTTGGAAGGTGAGAATTCCGGCATTTGTCACCTGTTGTTGGCAAGGTTCTCCAGGCAGCCCTCGATGAACTTCATGCGAATCTGCCGGTCAGTGAACCAGCACACAAGCGCGCACAAGAGCTTCTCTGCCTCTGCGATGAGCCCTTCTGCCAGATGAACCTGTAATGAAGAAGCAGTCACTTTACACAAAGGCCATTAAGAATAACATAGGGGATGAGAGAGAAGATTAAATCAATAACAGATTTATGGCATTTAATGAAGATACATTGGGCATGCTTGACATAAAAATGTGTAAAAGCATTTATTGAATGAACTACAGGGAAACTGTACACCTAAGTAATTATAATGGAAACAAATAGATTTGTGGAGATCATTATATGATGAAAAGGAAATCAAGACAAATTATGAAAAATTCAATCGGCAAATAATGAAGTTAAATAAGAAGTGAAGACTTCGGGGAGGAAGCATACATTATGAGATACAAGGGGCAACAGCGAGGTAGCGAGGTGTATAATGGATCTGAGCACGGAATCTGGTTCCACTGGGAGTTCCAGGGTTCAAATTCATGCAGCCACCCGTGCACAAGTTGGGTTCTCAAGTGTACCGAGCTGATGGTTCCCACACAGGGTTACCAATGACTGCATAAAAGAAAACCCATCATGAAACGTTTACTTGTGTATTAAATTGTGACAATGTGGTCATATTTTGGCAATTACAATTTTTTAAGTCTTGACTGCCATGTGACAACTATCTCGTAATCAGGACACATGGGAAAGTGAAACCTTTGTGCGTCTAATAAGTCCCACACCTCGAATTAGCATGGTTGGCTGAATCCGGTGCGAAAGAAGTTCAACATAAATACATACGCTTGATGGGATCACAGCAAGTGACCTACGATATCCATAACATGTGGTGACATTGCACTGCTCACGCAGAGTGCTCAGAATTTACATTTCTTCACCTCATGACGTGACTCATGGTACAACTGGAGTATTGTTTGTAAAAGTGAAAAAAAGGCACATTTTCAAAAGGGATGGGACCGAAGTTCGTGATATGAGCTTACAGCGTTTTCGTCCTGCACCAGGTCCCACAGCAGGGTGCTGCCCGTGCGGCACACGTTGTCGAGGTTGATGTCGGCCACCGTGCCACCGCCACCCTGGTGTTTGTGCATGGCCCCGGCTGTACGGTACCGACACAACACGGACCAGACCGCGACACAATTCAGCCCTAGTTTAGAAAAGCCTGCATATTTGTACCTGTACAGCCGTTTTGATCATTTACTACTGGGTTACGGCTCCCCCATGCAGAGTGGCTCGTGGGGGGATTTTGTACCGGGAAGCATAGATGGCGGAAGCAAAAAAAAGTACAGAGCAACAATGGATTTCGCTGCACTGCCTTCGACTGCACGTCACTTAGCCCCACAGGCCTAAGACATCCTGTTTGTGCATGGTGGTCACTCATCCACGCACTATTCGGGCTCAAACATGCTTAGCTTCTGAGATTTGACACATATTTTAGGCTCATAGGTCATGTAAAATTTAAGAAAACACAATCCTTTGAGAAATTGTCAGAGTGATTCGATGCCACACCACCATAAATAAACACAATATTACATTTATAAAGGGTAAAATGTTAGCATAGCATTAAAGCAATACAAAGGTTGTCTTATGCCTACCAACACGTTGAGTGTCAAGACATTATTTCTCCCGATGCATGGGTAACAGGAAGACTTCTGAGGCCATGTGTACATGCTGGTGGCAGTGCTGGTTATCAACTGGCTGCATACAGCAATGGGCAGCCTCATCCAACCATCCCCCATCTCCTCCCCCAACATTCCTCTTCCCCAGCGATTGCCAGGATTCAGGGCCATCATACAATTAAAAAAATCTATGAATTTTTTACAATCTCGTTTGTATTGTTTCTTCGTTTTTCCAAGTTAAAATTGCATATTATTTTCAAATGAAGGCCAATTGTCCAAAGTATCCAGATTTTACTTTCTTCTTAATGACGGCATGACAGTAATTCCATAACTCATTCGCACATGCACGCAATTCAATGCATGCATCATGAGCCAGAGAAGTGATTTTCACAGACGACTCGATGCACTGTCACACGGCCAACGAGCAGAGGAGGGCGTAAGCTCCGCATGATGCTCTCACCCTGTGGCATGTGACCCCTGTAGAGCGACGCGAGGTTGGGTAGACGCGGGGGCTGCAAGTGTGATGTGAGCTCGACGTGCGAGTTGATGCGAGCCAGTTCTTCCTCCTCCTCTTCCTCCTCCTCTTCTTCCTCTTCCTCCTCGCATCCCGAGCCAGACTCCTCCCCATCGAAGTCGGCCATGTTCTTCTCCGACTTGGCGCTCACCTGCGAGCTACTGCAGCTCACGTCGTCTGCGCTGAGCATGTCCTCGTCCAGTGGTCTGCAGCACGGGCGGAGAGATTCACAATCTCATTGTGTTTAACCCACTTGGCTCGTCCTACTTGTCTCACCCAATCTCACATTTGTGTTTAAAAAGAATTGAAATATTTGCATTTATATGGTACTTAAGTAACTGCATCTCAAAGAGCTTTACGTCGTATCTCATCCATTTTGAAGCCCTGCGGAAAACTGGATGAGTAAACCGCAGTGGCAACCATCCCTATGCGGTACAAGGTGTGCGCAGCACCTTCCAGCAAATGGGTATGTGTAGAGCCCCTTACTCTATCCACTGCTGGATGTGGTCCTCCCCACGCAATGCGGGTCCATAGGGAAGCAAAGTCATTGAAGCATTCGAGTACAGAACAACATATTTTATGAATTGCTATCTACTGCCCACCATGGAGCCTCCCAGACCTATGGACAACCTGCTCGTGCATGATAAGTTACCCATCCAAGCACTTAGCAACCCTGCAGAGCTGATGAGGTCGGGATAGCATTAGTGTTTACCGACATAATAGTACGATTATTAACTACAAGCAAGTATACTAAAGAACAGTTACAATGAACAATGCATATGTTAATTATTGGCCCACATATTAGAATAAAATCAGATTGAATAAATTTGTAACGGTTAATATCAGATTAGTTGTTCCTGTGAAGTCATTCCACCTATTTAAGAAGACCGGTTAAGTGACACACTTCGTCTGACTTTTTTTTATTCTTGTCATTATGATGCATGATGTAGTTTCAAATGAAAAGTCGAAAAGTTGCTGAATTTGGTTGTGAGAATTATTTACTAACCGATAAGTTAGAACAATAATATTTTGCACGTTAAACACTTGTACACGAGACAATGTAATTTGTTTGGCGATGTCGGTTGGAGGACCTTAACGAGACAATTTTGGCCAGATCATTCATTATAAGGCATGACCAAAAAGCTATCATAAATCATATTGGCTGTGAAAACCTATACATTTAAAATATCATGAGCTGTTAAAAGAAAGTTTAAAGAAAAACTTTTTTTATAAACTCAACAATGGTGCAAATGGAAAATGTTGGTTATCTTTGGCTCAAAGATTGATAATAATGTGCCATTTACCCGTCGTCATGGTGGTGGTGGTGATGGTGGTGGTGATGATGGTGCCTCTGCTGTGCGATAAATCCCCGGCAGTCGAAGATCTCTGCGTTCATCCCCTCTCCCAGCAGCCCGGCTGCCGTCCCCGCGTGGGCGCCTCCGCACGATACTTGCGGTTCACACCCAACTTCCGCACCCGCCACTGCCTGCACAACCCCGGTGCCCCCCGCTGCTGCCGCTGCCGCTACAACTGCCGCGGCCACCGCCGCAACAGTGGGAACCGTTGTCTCGCGATCGTCCGTCAGCGACCTCGGCCTCCTCTCCGCAGGCTCTGGGCCAAACCCGGCACCAACGTTCACTGTCTTCAAGCCCAGCTCTGAGGGGCACTGCCCCAGCTTCTCAACATCCGACTGGCTCTGTCGTTCCATTGGCCCCTGCGAGGAGAGAGCCTCTGAGTGGCAGTGAGGCATCCTATCCACTTGGCAAGGCTGGCCGAGCCGGTCTGCTGAGCACTGTCCCAGCCGCTCGCGGAGATCGTGAAGTGCCGACGCTGTCTCAGTCTTATTGCCGCGGCCCTGTAGGAGCACGGAGCTAGCAGCGTCTCCTCCTTTGGCTTGGCGAGCTGCAGCTGCCGCTGCCGCCGCCGCCCTCCTTCCAGCTTCCTCCCCGTCCTCCGTGTTGTCGTCCATGGGCGTGCGACTGCCCAGCGAGCAGCTGCTGGGGCCTTCGCTACCACTACTGCTGCTGCTGCTGTTGGCGTCGGCGTCGCCTGGGCTCGAGTCCTCGCTCCGGCCACTGCTGCTGCCCCCATCCTCGCGGCTGTTCGCCGTCTCGTCTGAACTGCCCTGCACAGACTCCTGTAGCACATGTCGGTATTCAGCATGCAATTAATGTTTTGGCACAGCACTACTGTTAAATTCATAGGCCCAAGGGTGAACCTTCAATGGAGTTTAATAAATTTGAGCAAAATATAAAAAAAATTCAGCAACTGCACTCATCTACAAAAACGCAAAGCTGAATACGGATACACTGAGGACATGAACATTGCCCAGTATTCAAGCCATCTCAAACGTTACCCAAAAGACACATATGCGGTATGATGAAACAGAGGTGTAGCTATTTGTTTAGTCAATGCTCGTAGACAACTAATCTGCAGAAAAACTGCTGTGAAAACCACACAGACAAAGAGAAATTAAAGAGTTGCTACTGAATAGTCCACGATGGGCCGTACTGCAGAAACTCAGGAAAGAGGTTAATTCAAGCACGATAATATATAGGCAGTGGGAGTGCAATGAGCACCTCAGAGTCCGACAGCTGGGGCTGCTGCTGTGGCTGTGGCTGCCGCTTGGGCCGGTGCACAGAGGGCTCCTCCTCCATCTCCACGTCACTGCCGCCACTTGGCTGTGTGTCGCTGTTGTCGCTGCTCTCTGGGCTGCCCACTCCCGCTGCTCATTGTGACACGCGAACGCACACGCACAGATTGTTACTGTCGACACTCACCTGATATGCAACCACAGTAGATGGCTGTCAGTGCTCCAAATTAAGGCAGAATTTGTCAGCACCACTCAAAATTAAAACGCGCCTTTTTTGGAAAGCTTAATAAATGTAATGTATGAAGCTGAATGAAAACATATACATTAGAGGATGCAGCTTTTCTGATGTTTGTCCAATTCATTGTATAAGAGTAGCAATACATATTTTTGTCACCGTGTCCACAAAGCGTTCAAGGAAAAGTGGTCATTTTCATTTGTGCAGCATTTGTTTACCTTTCTTAGCACCGAGGGGTAGGCTAGTGTTCAGTAGCGATGCAAAGGAACTCTGCTTGGAGAGCTGAGATTTGGCTGCAAGAGCATTGTTCCAGAGGGCTTTTATCAGCATTGATGCCAAATACAGCGTCTGGAGAGTGAGGGAGAGAACACAAGTTTTCGCACTGTTTATGAAATATGAATTACCATTAAATATGCAAAAAGGCAGTTATAGCCTCTTGAATTATCAGGCTAACCTGTCATTGCAAGGATGATTGTCGTGGGGAGAACCATTAAGACAACATATTTTGTGCTCAGTGAGAAAAGACAGCTGAGAAAAGGAATAAAAAGGGAAATCTGCTTTTAAGAAACCAAAAAGAGCAAAAATGTGGACAAAACAGAAACATTAAATCAGAGCTGGCTGATATAAGCTGGCACATCAGCACATCTGCAGTGCATTTGTGCAGATTGAGTTCTGCAACCAACATCACAATGGGACAGGAAGGTTTAGACAACTGTCCAAGTCAAACAGTAACAGTTACCACTCTAATGAAGCAGTCATTCTGTTATGTAAACATCCACCCCAAGTACGTGTCAAAACACACTTGTATGTTACCACCAGAAAACCATGCCCTCTGTGTCTGGGGCCTCATGGAGTTGGAGATCCCAAAGACACCACAGCTCCAAACATCTGTGATTACTAGGTATGTAATGGTTAAACTAAACTTTTTTTTAATTTTACCAGGAAAGACCAACTGGGCTATATAGCTCTTTTTAACAAGTGACCCGGCCACAAATGATAGCTCAACAACGTGGTTTATCATGTGAAAATGTATAGCAGCCAAATACTCTAAACGCATATTTTTAAATGTAGAGGAAAAAACGGAGGACCCGGAGAAAAATCCTAGCGACCACAGGGAGAACATGCAAACTCCAAATATACAGGCCTCAAGAGTCGGCATCGAACCCACGACCTCCTGTATACCAGGCAAGAGAGTTAATCTCGCAACTGTGGCACACTAATTATTACTATCATTATGCTTGCATACCCAGGAAAATCTCGTAACCTTTTCAGAAGGGTCGTGCACATTTTCAGGAGAGGGCGATGGTTGACATGTATATTCCAACTGAGTAATTTGCAGAAATGTTTTCAAATTTGGAACCATGATGTGCCGGCACACAATGCGAATGTTTAACGTCCACTTCGAAGCATTAACGTCCACTTCGAAGCAGACGATGTGTACATATACGGTTGATACACCCCCAGTAATACAAAGGGTGGCAGGTGGATTCCAACCGTGAACATCTGCTAATAATGCATTAATTTCTCCATTTAAAAAAAACATAGCATAACCAGGAGGGATGGTGGCGCATTTGGGAAAGGTTTCATCCAGCCGTGGATACATCATGGCGAGCGACTGGTGATGATGATTGGAAGAGGTCTCCAATCACGGGCCCACCTGCTCAGTGTGCGCGCTGGGGTGCAGGGCCGACACGAGCCCGAGCAGGTGACGGAGGGGCACAGGGTCCAGGTGCTTGATGAGCGACGGGAACAAGTCGTGGATGTAGCGACTGCAGTGCTTGAGCTGCATGCGGGAGAAAACCCCACGTACAGACAAACACGCAAACACTCACATGCTTGCATTGTACTCGGAACATTCATAATCTTAAACAGTTTCCAGTGCCAATCCATTAATAAACATTCTGATTATGATTAATGGCAGAGAATAAAACACTCATTGGAGTAATTTCATGGACAATATAAGTGCTTTATTTATTGTTTTCTGAATTGCAATTACGACTTAATGTTTCATATTCACGTAAGTTGTTTCTGTATTGCTTGGTATTCCAACCATGTGTTGTGTAGTGAAGATGCACGCGAAGACAAAACTTCATGTAGGGGCTTACGCCAGTTTATGTAATGTCATCCATTACTCCTCTACACATGTATGACGTTTTTTGACCCTTTAATCAAATGTATGGCTTTTTGAGGCAGGTTTTCCGAAAAAGAGACATTAGTCTCAATTAGTTCTCAACCGATTTGAAGTAAAGGACTGGTGATTATGATGAAGACATTTAAAAGATGTGTCTAGGATAAAAGCTAATCTTCAACTGTCCACTTTTTCATCAGCTACTTTATGCAATGTTTAAGCCAATAGCCTTCAGACAAATGACTAACAAGAAGTGAAGCAGGTCCTTGCGAACTTTAATTATACCACACACACACATTACCATTCAACACCGACCGGTATGAATTACCTGAGCGGCCATCCATATACAGTCTATGTGCGGTGTGTTCAGCCTGCCCTCGGCCGCCAAGAAATTGAGGATGACCTGGCACTGTTTCAGGATCTGGGGAGAGACAAGGCGTTGTGTTTGCAGACGGCCGGACTTGGCTCTCAGCCACTGGGTGTTCCCAACCGAACGGCGCGTCAGGGTTCCTGATCGCAGCGTTTAAAGGGCGGCCAAGCGGCACACTTGAGCTCTCCAGCTGAGCCATCTGCCGCCTTCATTAACTCTGAATTCAAAATCTGCCAGCATTGTTAACGCTCCTTGCCCCTGTTTCAGACAGAAAATCAAACTTGCCAAAAGAAATAAGCTTTATCTTGGTGGTTCTTTGTTTAACGAAAGACATGGTGCCACTGCACTTAGTGATCGGTAACTGGACCAGGTTCAGGGGTAAGTTTGTAACCATTGAAAGGTTATCGTTTCATAATTGCAATTGAGTGGCACTGTTGAGACGAGCTTATACGAAGAGATATGTTACTGCAAAGAGATAAAGCAGGTATTTTAAAAAAGTAAAATATTTTTAAGTTCATTTTCACAGCCTGTTTAAAAATAGAAACTCTACAATGAACAAAAACCAATAAAGAGGCTAAAATAATACTGTAACATTTTTTAAAAATTGTGTAAAATGACCCAATAAATTACATGTCGGCATATTTAAATGTGTATCTCATACATCTTACATGGTCCTTATTTTAATTCCAAATATCTACCATCAGAAATAAAGAAAAGTTAATTATCTCCGAATGAGAATGATTATGTGTTGAAGTATCAATAATTGTATTCTCACCTCAATGTGCAAATTTGGTCCAAAGATGTGCTCAACAATGTTGTGGTTAGTTAACCAGTCAGCCAGTTCCTTTGCAATGGTTCTGTAGGACATGACAATTATTGCAAGCTTTCATTTTAATCACATGATAAAGCAGAACTTTAAGTTCAGGGTACTTTGCCAAAGATATTTCAGTACTTTTACCACATACCAAGGATAAATGATAAGATGATGAAAAATTTACAAAGGCATTTTTTAAGTGGAATAACATTCAGCAAAAGAAAATTTAAATTACAATATGTTTCTTGGAAATATAACTTAAATGTTTAAGTTATTTTAAACAAGGTTTAAACAAAAAACATCTCAGCAATTCCTTGCACGGGTTACAGGGATCACATATTCATAACCCATCCACTGCATACACAATTGTAGGTTTAAAAATAATGGGTTTTAAAACAAATATGAATAACGCAGACACTAAATATATAGGTATGGCCCAGTCAGGCATAATGCACTCACACAAAGTCAAATAACCCTCGTATAGCATGAACAGACTGTTGGGGCAAGTGCTGATAGCAAGCACCTATTAGGGCCAGCACGGCACATGAGGGGGAAGGTGGTCAAGCACCATACCCGACCGCCTTTGTCTCCCTCGTGGTGATGTTTACACACCACACCAGGTACTCATTTGAGGCAGAGTCGATCTCGAGGAGGCCCATGACTGGTTGAGATAATTGTCACTGGTGTTAACAGTTAACGGGAATCAAACTCGGGTCCCCGGGTTCATACCACAGTGCGCTAACCGCTGAACTACTGCTGCACTACTGCTCCCCCACAGCCATAGAGACCCTTACACAAGGCCACAGATAGACTTACGTTTCTGCATCGGAGACGAGGGACTCGTTGTTACAAACTTCATTGAATGTGTGCAATTGGTTCTGCGGAGGGGAAAATAAGCATGAGCATCACACGTCTGTAATAATGTAAGAACATTAATCTGTCCATACTGTTTGTTACAGTATTTTAAGTTTCACGGTTGTGCCAAGGGCAGCACATGTAACCAAGGGGCAAGAAAATTACTGCCCTAGGATTGCTGCAGTTACATTTAATCGCTCTCGGTAGCACAGCCACCCATCTCATCTCACCATATTAATTAGCCCTAAGATCACTTACAGAGAATGAGGTCAAAGGCTGGTCCAGGAATATCGAACAAGGCCAACGAGCACATCATACAGTTGATTGTGCTGTGATAATGTAATGTGCCCTAACTCCAGTGACCCAGAATCGATTACTAGCCGTGATGTACAACAATAGTAATTAAAATCCAAAACAGGCGATGGTCTTCCACAGGTCGACCAAGCATACAAATGGAAACCTGGAATTATGTGGGTACACTTGAGAAACTGGCAGCCAAGCATACATGATGCTGCCCACACCACCCGCAATGTGCCAAGCTGCCCTTAATGCTTTAGTTGCTCACTAAATGCTAACGAAGAACATTTTCTCTGACTGACAGACCTTATACAGTGCACTGGTGTGAATTTGTCTTTTTTATTATTTTTATTTTGCTCACCGTGATTTGGCTGAGGCCAGCGAGCCGCATGGTGAGTGTGGGCGAGGTGAAGTACTTGAACGCCAAGTCGAGACTCTCGCGGTCAAACCCCAGTGCCGAGTCCAGTGGCTCCTTCACCGCACTCCACATGAGGTCCGCCATGTTCCGCGCGGCGCTCTGCCTCAGCTCCTGGTCCGACAGCCTGCACAGGTACCTGCGAGCGGGACAAATGAACGGAAACAATTATCTTTCACATTCTTTTCTCTCTTTCTCGCAATACTTATTTAAACTTCTTAGACAAAACACAAATTCGTGCATATTTATTTCAAATCTTTTAACCGACTCCACAACTACCATTTACAATTAAACGGTAATATATTTAAATAGCTCGCATCCTCGCGCATACCTTATTACGAAAGTCCGAAATGGAATAATATGTTGCATGACTGCAGGCAGATGCAGCCAAATCTTAATCTGGAAAAAAACAACCATTCATATGCGTTAGAAATGTCATCAGTATCTTCTAGACATGGAAAACAACAAGTGAATATAAAATTACCCCAGTGTATGTGAAGTTCATTTTAATAGGTTGTTACAGCCTACTTGACTGTTTTAATCTCTCTGGCAGTCTAAATGGCCGATTCTATTTCCCTTTTCAATTTCAAGATAAGGCCTTCCTCTTCTGATCTGTCTTGAACTGACCGTTTCCATGTATCCGAATGTATTATTCATTACAAAAGTCCTCTCTTCCCTATTCTTTGGTTCCTTCGGTAAAGTCACGTAGATAGAAAAATTATAATAAAAAATAAAGTGAATAAAATTATAAAATGTAAATAAAAAAACTGGAAAAAAACACTAATGTAGACTGTAGCCTGGTTCTTAATCGGAGTGAGTGTACTGGCAATCTATGTGGACTGTAGCCTGGTTCTGAACCTTGGTGAGTGTACTGACAGTCAATAATGCAGACTGTAGCCTGGTTCTTAACCTGAGTGAGCATACTGGCAGTCGATAATGTAGACTTATTCTGGTTCTTTCAGTAATACAAATAAAAGAAAGAAAAAAACCACGACGTTTCGATCACACAAGTGGTTGTCATCAGGAAAAGGGGGTTTAGCCTCTAAAGGCAAACTGTTAATAAAGGTTTAGAGATGGGCGGGGCAGCTAATGTTATTGTTGGAGAAAACCCCGATACCGGCAGGAGGTCTACACCAATCAAAGCATTGCACCTCGCTCCACACACCCACACTGCTGATGGTGGAGGTTGACAAGAATATACAAATCAAGTCATGACCCAAAGGGGTTGTGATGACATCTTTCCAATGATTTTTGAGCTTATAACCATCCTCTCGGTTGAAATTGTGTCTGTGTCTGTATATATGGATGCCTTCATGAATGATTTTTTGTTGATAGCCAGTCGGCTTTAAAAGTACCATCGTCTTAGAGAACTAAATTTCATGTGAGCCAGCTACATTAAAATAATGATCAGCCACGGCAGAAGTATTGGTCGTACCGTGTTTCAAATCTGCCTTATGCCCACGAACACGGTCCGAGACATGTTGCTTAGTTTAAATTATTTTATTCACATTATTTATTATAATAATTTTTCTACCTACGTGATTTCACCTAAAGAACCAAAGAAAATAAATTCCTGCAGTCACGAAAGTTAAGTAAAAATTCCTCTCTTCCCTTTTACTCATATCTTAATACTCATCTTAAAAAACAAAGCCCTCTTGTTCCCTGCAATCCCATAGAAGGCATGTGCTGTTCTTCATACACACGAATACTTTTACGACAACACAATTGGAGCACACATTGTGTTGTCGTAAAAGTATTCGTGCACAGTGCTACTCATATCTTAATACTCATCTTAAAAAACAAAGCCCTCTTGTTCCCTGCAATCCCATAGAAGGCATGTGCTGTTCTTCATACACACGAATACTTTTACGACAACACAATTGGAGCACACATTGTGTTGTCGTAAAAGTATTCGTGCACAGTGCTACAAGGCAAGAAAATGCTCCAAAGCGCAATGAACTAATGGGGTGAATATCCCTTTATGTCACAGTACAGGATAGATAAAGGACAAATAAAGGGTGTAAATACAGTTCTATATATGCTCCGGATGCAAAAAAAAATTGTGAGCATTGTGGGCAGCAGGCTATGGGATGTTGGCTACCAACAACAAGGCAACTCCTATGACTAATTGGGAATGGGACGCAAGCGTAGGATTGATCACCCTGTCGCTGGCCGCCTTTGGGGAGGGTGTATAGTATGAAAGGCCGAAACACCCTAGGAACCAAAGGGTCACTACTGACGATGCGCTCCCCAAATTTCACCAGGCTCACTGTTCATGAACTCTTGGAAGTGCTTGCACAATGGATAGTAACATCTCATCCTGTGTTCTTTGGAATCTGAATAGGTGAAGTGAAGTGGTAGGGGCGGTGGTCACGCAGCGTCCACCTTAAAAAACTTTTTTTCTGCACGGGAATCACTATCAGTTACGAATATCTACCGGTGGATGGCGGCACGTACAAAGAAACATTTTACACGGTTATGAGATGAATTTCTTCCAATAGGAAAACTCGGCCAGCACTCACGTTTGACACGAGGGTGATGAGTGCATGCGCGATGGGGAACGGCAGGGTTTCGGGTGTGCCGAACTCAAAGCACTCCCGCATTAGTGCAAGTCCGTTCTTCCCGCAGAAGAGGCAGACATAACGCAGTAGGTGCAGGGGCACCTCCACGTCCTGCACACGCAACAGAAACAGTGGCCGCGTCAAAGGCAATACCACCGTGACAGAAGACTTGCTCACATGGCCAAGACGGACACCCGGAAGTTTCAGTGATTTCTCGGCGGCGATGGCAGTTTACAGCACGACAAATGCAGTCCACAGTGTGTGGTCTTAACATGTTTTAGTCATCATAGGTGAGGAAATTTTATTAATGCTTCACAGTGGATAGCCACAACAATTGTTTTTGTTGCAATGTTTGTTGCTGTAATTTGCTGACTCGCTCCTACTGCAAATCTGTGAAATAGGGGCTTCAAAGCTCATCAGTCTAAATAAAGATTATCATTCAGATTCTGAATTTCACTCAAGGTAGGGGGGGGGGGTTTGCTTAAGTCGCTTAAAGTCAAAAGTGTACGAGCAGAAGAATTAACTTATTTTTTACTTCAACCCGTGGAGAACCCATTGCTCTGTAATGGAAAACCAGAGACAGCTGGAATTTTCACTCATTTCACAATCCTGTACTCGGAGCAATACAAGTCATCTGTTTTTCTACATTAGTGATGTTTTTTTTTCTATTTTCTAAGATTTAAGGATGTTCTGGCAAGAGAATTACAATTGGAGCACACATTGAAACGTTAGAGCAATTTTAAATGAACAGTGTTAGTCTTCTGGAATCGGTACGCCCATGTCTTCGGTGAAGCTAAATATTTTACGTTTTCCGAACTTCTTCTACCGTTTTGGTGGCAGGCACTAATGGAGTAAAGGGCAGTGGAGCCAGCAGCCAGCCAGGAAACTCCATTATACAATATATAGACTTACAAACCAATCACCTACTGTTGGGATCAAAATGATTAATTAAAGAGCATAAAAGAGCTGCATGCAGTGATTTGGAATGTACAAATAAGCCTGCAGAGGAACAAAGGGTTGTAAAAAGAAGTCTGCATTCAACTTACATTCATGTCACAAAAAGCTCCCAACAAATTGCTTTCTGCTGTCGAAATGTCCTAAAGAGAAATTTCAAACAAAACATATAAAGAAACCACAATGTACAGATAATTTAAATTCCCTTGCACACAATGGTGATGCATTTTATATACAGTTAGACAAAGGTTTAGAGACATAATGGAGACTGTATTTTAGAAATTCCAAGTTTTCAAGGGCAAAATCCAGCAGAATATTGAAAATTAGAATGACCTATTAGCACTGGATCACTAATTTACGAGCCTTCTTGGTTGCACAGGATTTTGGACCTTACTATAAAAAACACACACACCTGAAAATGTGTATATTTACAATTCTGGCTCTAATTTCGTTAATAATAAGAGATGCCACGGTTTAATTTAATGATACCCACATAATCCTATAGAATTTAACTAACTTGGAGATTTACAGTTGCTGTTAAAACCATTTACCAATGACAAGCACTCTAAACCCCAGCAGTCAGACCCGGAGAAAGTCTTGGTCCTGGGTTAAGATGCAACTAAAACACGTGGCTTTGTTTCAATATCCCATTTCAAACATATTCACCTCTTTAAACAACACAAAAAAAATACTCAACAGGTCCCGTATCATCATCTTTGTCTCTTTAAACAACTGAGATTGAGACAATAACAAGTCCTTTACCCTCTCTGCAAGGCTGTCTACAGCTCACTGTATAAAATAGCATTTTGATTGAGTTAAACGTTATGAAATGAGAGCACCATGTTCTGAAACTTCTGATGCATTACTCACCGCCCTTCTAATCCTGTCTGCAAAAGTGCACACGTGAATCGCTGACATTGAAATGCATTATATTATCAAACCAATAGCATTAACAAAACACTTCTAAGCAAAAGCAAATGAGAATGGAGTGCTCATAATGAATTCGAATGAGTTCCGATAAAGCAATTTCTTTTTCATTTGTCCTATGCAGTTTCACATTTATTCTATTATTTTCAACGATCAGAAAATGATCCATAATCATTAACCATCCAGCATGAGCGAGCAATACTTTTTAACGAATATGCCAAGGTCATCACAAAATGTTACCGTGATTTTACAACCCGTTTCCAAAGGCAACCAGACTTCAACATTTCCAAGTTATTTGTAATAAAGGGCAACAATATATATTTCGACAAGAATGAATTATTTCAAAACTTTTCACTCTGTGGGCAAGTTTATCATGTTATTAAGTAAAACTTGTGAACTTAAAAGTTAAATATTAATTCTCTGCCAGGAAGAGAGAAATGACAGATGTGGCCACTTATAAAAAATGATGGGCTTGCCAAGAAACACCCATTCCTGGACATGTGAAAACGAGCTTCATAGCGAATTGTATTTCTCCAGGTTTAATAAAGATTCAGATTCTGAATTCCACCCCTTCAATAACCTCTTTGAGCACGTTTTCAATACCTCGCAAATGCTAAACTGCAGAGATAAATGGCCAAGCATTGCGAGCGCGCCTTGCCTCTATGGTGGTATGCGTGTTGTGCTTGTAGGCCGTGTAGAGAGGGAACTGGATCTGGAAGATCTTGGCAATGCTCAGCAGCAGCTTCTCTTGCTCCTCAATGCTCCAGCTGCTCCAGTCCTCCTCCGCCGCACCAGGCGACCCGGCTGACACCTCCGATTCCTCGGCACCATCCCCCGAGCAGGCCCCTCCACCGTCGCCGCCACCGCCAACATCTCCTTCCCGCCGATCCTTTCCGTCCAAGACACGGGCAGCTGCACCCCCGACTGCGGAATCCAGCAGTCGGGGCGCATCCTTCACTTCAAAGTCCATCTGCATGTCGGCGTCCAGCTACGCACAGCACAGGACGCACAGCACGGCAATTACGCAACACGATCCGAGAGCTGGCACGGAAAAGATGCAAAATGCCAGTCGCTCAACAGTGACAAGGACAAAACCTGTTGAGCGTGCGACGCCATTTGCCAGCAATTAATTTGTTTTTGCAGTGAGCCAGGAACTTGTGGAGGATATGTATGCGAGGTGTCTGCAAAAATCAATGTGCTCGTTTTCATCTTTCAGTTATATCGATTTTAGTATCACCTGGCACACTGAAAGGATGTCGATTATATTCTGAATTTCATCAGACATGAATGTAATGCATAATGCAGACTAACAACACCAAAAGTACCGTGTATATGTCATCTAACTGGGCAGCTAAAACAATTTTGGTAAAACACAGCACACAAATATTTTGACAGCTTTGAATATAGCTGTAAGCTGGCAGACTGATACAATTTTAGTTAGAAGCAACCTTATTGACTTAAAGCTTTCGTGACTGCAGGAATTCATATTCGTTGGGTCTTTCGGCAAAGTCACGTAGATAGGTTCAAAGAAAATAACAAAAAACTACGATCGTCATGATGACGATCGCTTATGTTGCGATCGAAACGTCGTAGTTTTGTTATTTTCTTTCAACCTATCTACGTGACTTTACCAAAAGACCCAAAGAACATAGCAAACCTTATTCTTAATCCACCAATGATTGTATACCAAGTACATATATTTACAAACAAATGTATTAACAGATATGTTTCACAATGTTTAAATACATATCTCAGCCCATTTCCATTTTGTATTTAAATGGATGTGCTTCCATCCTCAGCTGATAGCAGTGCAGGGTCTGCACTTGGGGTCTTGCCTGTGGTTGTGGCTTCAAGCTGCTGGGCTGTAGGCTGTTCCGAAGGCAACATACAAGGCTCACGGCGAGTCGGATCAGCTCCAACAGCACCTGGCTGAAGCCCTCCAGATTCCTATATTCCTTGAAGCAGCAGAGGCACTGCCTGAGGTTGGGGAGGTAGAGACGCAGCATGTCGAGGAATCAAAAACGCACCCAAGCCATGGGTCAACTGTGAAATGCACTGGCTCGCTCAGATAATTGACAGTCAGGATTGTTCAAGCTTTAATGCCACGTGATGTCAAATATTTAGTCAAAATGAAATGAAAACGTCCACTTATCGATTTGTTCTCGGAATTGGTGGCAAATGCCGTGTGCACTCTTGAAAAACACGGACTGAAATGCGAGTCTTGGAATCGGTGTGGAATTCAAGCTAATCCCTGTTAACACTAACAGGTGGCCCATACCAGCCATAGATTGCCCAAATGGATAATGTTATGTTTGTTAAACAGAGCTTGCATATGTAGACCACGTCTTGCTGACAGCCGTTCAAGTGTCCACCTATTGTCATTACACACAGCCATTGATGTTAAAACTATTCCCATAAATACATTGTACAATTACATACTGTTAAAAATAAGTAGGGTTGCTGGCTGGCGTATCTAAATTTGCTACTTTATATTTTAAAAAACACTCCATTAAAACTATAAATATCTATCGTCTCAGTGAAGCGGAAACAACGTGAAATATTTGGCATCTGTGTTGGTTCCAACGAAGGCATTGTCATTCTTATTGCTAACAAAGGATTTTGCCGAACTCCCCACTGCTGCCCACCGTATCACCATGAAGAATATATAAAACTCTATAACACATGAAAGTTGCCCATCCAAAATTTGGAGAGGTTAGGCCTATTCCAGGTGATTTGGGTAATATTAAAATGTTCGAAATATATTGATATTGCATGTCATTGTGTCAATGAAAATTGTGCCTGTTCCGGAATAAAAAAATACAGCTTGCAGTGAAATACCATGAAGAATGAACATTTAAGACAATTAAACTTTGAAGGCAGTGTGGCTGCCAACAAAAACACGACATGTACACAAAATAGAAGACGATGTTCAGCATGACAAAAAGAAAACACTTGCTCCAAAGAGTTACAAAACCAAACACAATTTTCCCTGGAATGGGGATCCAGTAGTAATACGGTGATCATGTTTGGAGGCCATATTTAAGTGAATCCAAAGAACGTATGCTTTGATAAGCACGACCATAACAGAATGCAGAACATTCATTAGCCGCGCATTAATCTGCGCAGTAGTCGACAGGCACAGCTGCTGCTACCCGTAGACAATAATCAAGTGTTTTAGATACTCGAGTAATTCTAAAACTGTCAACGTTAAGACTTTAAATTCCCATTTTTGTTTTATTATGCATATAAAGTCCCGCAGGTTCAATCTTGCTAATTTATCAATTCTCAGCCTTTTATAATTATTATTCAGATAACCTGAGGCCAGATGGCTACACTGCCTGCAATACTTTTTGGCGACTAACCTTTAAAAGCTGTAAAGACTAAGTGATTATCTCTGGTTCATCCTATGTGCAAATAAAGAGATCACGTGGCTTCTTCTACGCCAAAATTGTGAAGGGCAACCGCTCCTGCACTTGCCATTTCTGGCTGGGAGTTCACAAGCAATCTACCCAACAGGTTGACCTGGGGTTTTCAGTTTGCTGCCTGCTGGTGTGGCCGCATGGGGTTGTGAGGCCATGAAAAATCACCGGGACCATGGCACTGCATGTATTAATTGGCTAAATGAAATCGTTTGACAGCTGTAAGAATACTTTTACGTTTAATGTCATTTATGAACATTTAGACTGCACTGATTTTCCATTCAATTTTATGTTTTTTTACTTGGTGCTTTACTCGTCTGTTACATTTTATGAATGTATGTATTTAATATACTTATTTATATTTTCCTTTGAAAATGTTCTAACTTGGATATATTATGATAATCGTTTATCTTTCGAGTACATGATTCATGGCAATATAAAATTCATGCAACTTATAAAAACGAATCATGCCATTCGTGCATTACCACATGATTAACTCAGAAACTAAATGTGATCACCAATTCGTTGAATGTGATTGAACAATCACACACTTAAGACAGTCCTCCAAGAAAGGTGACAAAAATGATGCCAATAACAAGTGGCCGTTTTCAGTCACACGACAACAAATAAACGACAAGAAATAAACGACACATTGTTCTAAAAGAAATGTGCAACGCATCCTTTAACGATAACACTCTACATTTCACCAGCAGACCTAGGATCTGAAAGAATGCCATGGGCCACAACAATTCAGAGTAAATTCAAGCCCTTGCTGGTGATCTCAAAGACAACTACAGCTGTGTTGAGCATGTTCACATGGAGGATTTATTTCCCCTTGTTGAGCATTAAGGCAGACATCTCTTGGCAAGCCAAAAGCAGCACAAAGATTAGTTGTTGTGTTAAAGTCAACTAATATGTTACATTTCTTGGTTATGAAACCTTCCCAACAAATCATTTCACATTGCATTTTAACACTGCTGGGAGCATATTTTATTAACTAAATTATCCATTATGAATTTTAGTTTGCACATAATTTTTAAACCTAACTTTTCAGCAGCACAACTTAAAACTGCTGTCAGCCTTTTCACCATCAAATTCAGTTTTAGGCAGTGTACATTATACATGAGCCAAGGCTGCCAAGCAAAGGTATTTTAAATATGCTACTGTTAACATTTGCACACATTAAGTATGAACACTGTACACAATGTAACATAACTGTGATTGGATAAAAGCGCTATATACATTCAAGATAAGATAATCGTTTTAAAAAATAAAATTCAAGAATGTCCATTTACAACATAGTCCCTCATTATTTACATTCGATTATCGTGTAAAAACTCTGGAAATCTACATACTGGCGACGAAGTGTATTTTGGAAAGCGCCAAGGTCAAATGAGACAAAGGTTGACGCTTGTTGTACTCGCAAGTTTTAATATTCAGTTAATAATGGCATGCACACATGACCTTGGTAGTCTGCAGAACCACACTGTTCCTAAAGGCAGACAATACATGTGATGGTTTGGAGTCCCTATACTAAAGGTGTTGTTCGAACGTAGTTGTTGAGCATTAAGGCAGAGAAATCTCATCGGTGTTCAGTAAAATGGTCAACTTGTTTGCCTTAGAGGCATTGAGGTGGGTGTGGAGGAAATGAAGTGAAGGTTAAAATGAAACTATTGTGGCGGTGCAAAACCCGAACTTCAGTCCTCATCAGGTAGTTCACAAATTTGCTTACATACTGTAAGCAGTGCACATATCGACATCTGCTTATGTGTAAGAACATTATAATTTTTGCGCAACATACTTTCATGTGCCAGTTTGGCCCATTGATTTTTCCCCTTGGGATTGCAATGGCGGGCCACTAGGCAAAGTTAGAATAATGTATAACGTAATGTCTATAGTAATGTACATGGCAATTTATACATGTATATATGCAGGATAAAGTAAGAGTATGTTCCTCATCAAAGTGCCACTGTGATGTGTATGTAATTATGGTTTCTGGCAGTCCTCGGCTAACGAACCTAATTCGTTCCTGAGACCCCGTCGTTAGTAGAACGGCTCTTAAGTCGAACAGTTCATAAGTCGGTACGGTCAGCGTTATGAAATGTGTTACGGTTCAATAAAAAGGGAAGCATTGCTAAACTCATAATTAAGAATACATATTTACATTTGCATCTCACACTGTAAAGAATACTGTATAATAACTAAAACGTAAAGTAAAGTAAACAAAAAAAACAGTTTTATTTTCATTTCAGTCCTGATGCTTGCTTGTAGTCGGAAGGGGAGCAGTCACCATAATTGCACACACACACGGGGCACGCTTGGACACACAAAGACACACACAAAGACACACACAAAGACACACACAAAGACACACACAAAGACACACACAAAGACACACACAAAGACACACACAAAGACACACACACGGGGCACGCTTGGACACACAGACACACAAAGACACACACATAGACACACACATACACACACAAAGACACACATGGGGCACACACATAGACACACACAAAGACACACACACGGGGCACGCTTGGACACACATAGACACACACAAAGACACACACAAAGACACACACGGGACACACACGGGACACGCTTGGACACACATAGACACACAAAGACACACACAAAGACACACACAAAGACACACACAAAGACACACACACACAAAGACACACACACACGGGGCACGCTTGGACACACAAAGACACACACAAAGACACACACACACGGGGCACGCTTGGACACACATAGACACACACAAAGACACACACAAAGACACACACAAAAACACACACACACCCCCCAATGACAACGATCTCCAGTATAGCCTTAACAGACTGTGGAGAGGGGGGGATGTTAGCGACCATCGACTATGAAGGCCGGCACGGCGCACAAGAGGGTGGGGGTGGCCAACACCATGCCCGGCTGCCTTTGTCTCCCCAGTGGCGATGTTTACACACCACACCAGGTACTGGTGTTGGCCACGAGCCAGAATCTAACTCGGGTCGCTGATTTCATTGCGCAGTAACCGGTTACACTACCGCTCCCCACACACTTTCACACACACGTGTCCGCATGCATACACACCCAAACACACTCAGAGCGCGAGGCCGACTCATTAGATCGACCTCTGAACAAAATAGTTCTGCGGTTCAGTTTTCAATCACAAGCTGGTTCGTAAGGGCGTTCGTAATGCCTGTACATAGCTTGACTGACGTGGTTTTTATCTATTTCCACTTGTTTACCTGGGAAAGCTACAATGAGTCTCAAGACTTTTTCAGGAGGGTCCTGCCAAATTTTCACAGCAGGGGGCGATGCTGCTATGTATAATACCAATTCAGTAATTTGCAGGAAATGTTTAAGCTTGGGAAGTTTGGCCCATACCAGTTATATTGTATGGTTTTTTGCTAAGGAAACCATGCAGATCCGGGGGAGAATATACCAACTTCACGCAGAAAGGCACCCGAGTCAGGATTTGAACCCAGGTGCCCTTCTTGCTGTGAGGCACGAGTCTTACCACTGTGCCACACTGGTGCATTCCAACAGCTGTTTCATGTAACTATGACCAATGGAAAACAAATTTCTATAAAATCAATCATATGTAATTGTACAATGTATTCCTGGTGAATGTAAAACAAAAATATATAAACTACACATACTTAAGCAAACATTCACACGCAATGTTTTTAAATGTATTATGTTGCGGATGAAAAAGGGATGCTAGAGTTCACAGAAATGCAGTGCTGGTGCACAAGTCCAAAGGTTCAACGTCAAAAAACCCCCACGGAATGTCACCCTCAGCGCTGCAATGTGGATGCAGATTCACAAAACTGGCTATCGTACAAAGTGGACATTAAAACGGCTACTGCCGTCTGCACACCACGCCAATCCAACAGTGCTCCTAGTCAAAAGTAGGCCATCATCTGGGATTATGAATGACCTCTGACAGTGAAAACAAGGCCCGACCAGTTCACACTACTGCAGCAAACTGACAGCAAACAACTAACATGGCCACCACATGTCCCAGCTCTTTGGTGCAGCAGTGTTACAGCACAATTACCAATGCTCACTTATTGAATTAAATAATTAGCCGAAAACTACATTCATTGCCTTCTCATAAACACATGTACTTAAATGGAGTTGCCTTGTTTATAAATCCATTGAATAGGAAACCATGTAATAAAGCAAAGAACTGTGATTTTCTTTAAAACTGGAACACTTGAATGAACACATCTTGACTTGTACAATTATTTTACCACCCACACAATACACAGATATAAAATTATATGCGACAGACGACTGCTGGTATATCTAGCGAGGGATAATCAATGAAAAAAATACGTGGGCTACAAAAATCTGGTCCAATAAACCTGTCCTCCAGCATATGTTTTGACGATCCAAGATAGGTTATCACTAATGTAATTCATGAAATATATGAATTATAGTACTGTATGTAATACTTTCATTGGTCATGAGATTTTAAAAAATGTAAAATCTATTTGGCTATGTAGACAGGCAGTGAGAACCAGATATTGCTAGGCCTAAAATAACCTCTTTTAATGTATTGCTCCATCATATTTACCCACATGCCTTCATAAATCACCACACATTAGAAACAAACCTCTCAGCATGAATTTGTTTTCATGCAAAGGGGTGGGGGGCAAGGGATGGCAAGTGACTTTTACCTGGAACAACATTGATTCTTTAAAAAACTTATTTATGTTCAGGTTCCCTGCAATGCCAAGAAGGCAAGCATGCGAATAGGTTTTCCCCTTTTTTCTGGCAACAAACAGGTGTTAAGATGTTAAAACACTAAACTTAAACCTTTTGCAAGGAATCATGTCTGCATTCTGACCACAATACTTGTGGTCAGAATGCAAACAAAAAACACTGATAATATTTGCATTGTCTTTGAAACTGATTGGTCCACACCAGAGACAGCTTTCTTTTGAGCCTCGTCTCAAAACGGTGTTAGACCATAAGACATCCTCTGGTCTAACACCGTTTTGAGACTAGGCTCAAAAGAAATCTGTCTCTGGTGTAGATCACTCAGTTTCAAAGACAATGCATAATTGACTTAAAAGCTTTCGTGACGGCAGGAATTCATACTCTGGTTATTTCGGTAAAGTCTCGTAGATAGAGAAATAATACAAAATCACAACATTTCAATCACAACACAAGCAATCGTCCTATTCTGATATTTTGGTACTAGCAAAGAAGGTCCCATGATGTAAGGCAAGCATGGATAAGAGCAATAAGTGGACTTAACAGCCATATAATTACGCTGTAGCCTCAATCAAAATATAACACTGTTTCTTGATTGCCACATTTCAGTCGAACCCAACGATTTAAGATATGTAGGGCAATCTGCATTTAGACAAGCAAATATAGTCCACCTAGCCCTGGTAAACATAAGCAATGAGAACATCAGTTCTCCAGTGCAACTCCACCAACCACTCATTCACCGTGCCAACTTTTGGCAGCTAGCAGTGGCTGCTTGGATTGTTCTGAATGTGATGAAAACGGCTAGGTTTATTGAATCCAATTAAAATAAACAAAAGCACAGTACAGGGATGAACTTTGGACTTGTGTAATTATACGCTATACTTAGAGCAGCATTAAAGCATGGTGAATGACCATGACATTTGGTAGACACAATACATAAAGCTTGCATTCTACCCTCACCGATTTTAATTTAATAAAAACAATTAATTTAAAAAGTATTTAAAACACAGTTGCCTGGTTCTGTCTAAATATCCGACCTTCACCTGAACGAATAAAATCAATCTGTGTCCCTTTCAATAAAAACATAACTCAATAATTCGATTATTTGAAATGTCACAGGCAGTTCGATCAGATGCAATCGTGACCCAACCTCATTATTATCATATGCAACAAAATCTTGGCAATATTCTTACGGATTTAACAATGTCATGCTCCTGAAGATACATTTCTCCACATCTATAAGCTATGAAACGTTTATTTTTACACACACTCATATCACTCCAAAGGCAGCCATACTATTTTAAACTGCTGGTAGATAATCTGACACATTTCACTCACATTTTTTCAGGAAAGTCTAGTCTCCAGAAACAGAAATGGTCATCTAATATGTACACTTTACAGATACAGATAATGAGTAGTGGGGTATAATGACCCATGCTTTGAATCATTTAATACTACTGGACAGGTGAGTTCTCAACATGCAAAATGTGCAATAATTAGAATAATCTTTCTGCTATTAATTATATTTTGATGTAATTGTTATGTACGTAAACATATGCACAAGCAGTAAAAGAAACAGCCAGCACAATAATCCACTGTCAAATCTAAAGAATCATCATTGCAGGGTTTGACAATTATATAAATACAGACTACAACATTCAGATGATTATTAATGATGATGACAGTGTATATTTTTCTGTCTTTGAAACATTTGCTTAAATATTCTAACCGAATTTACTAAGTTTTCTTGGAATTAGTTTAATGACTATCACCTTACCACCTACATTCGAATGTCTGTTAAATAATTATAAAATACAAATGAGCACAAATGCATTAAATTGAATTGAAATTCCCTACAGATAGATCTTTAGCCTGGTCAGACAGTTGCCCCTGCATTACCTTTCAGTCATTACAGTCAGCACCACATGCCATTCACAGACCCAGGAGCAGCTTGGACAGCTGTTTCAAGGTTCAAATAAACCAGGGCATGCTTTAAGAGGCCCTAATCTTACCTCTGTGGCCACGAGCTGATATAATTAAATAACTTGAGAACATGCTCCTTCTTGAGTGACGATACCTCATCATTTTCCGATTCCCCTGGAAAACAAGAGGTTGAAAGGGCAATTAGACCAGTCGAATACAGCATTAAAGTAATGTTTTTTCATACGCTACATACATATCTTGAACCGAATGTGAACGAAAATATCATAATACACAAAAGGGTGTTCATACACACTGTACAAATTCAAATGAAACATTTTTTTTAGATTCATCACGGTAAACTATTTCCAACCATAAACTTGATTGCAGGAAAGGTAATTTACATTTTTGTAAGACTAATAACAGCACTTATACTGCATTAGATAAATCTACCATTATTAAATTATGACACTGCAATGTTAATCTCATATACTCGGAACAACGATCTTTTGAGGAGTCATATACCGTCTGATATAAAACCTGGACTCTGGGTTTAATTTAGCTAAGGAATTTCTGCTCGCGCCAAAGCCATGCATCCTTCAATTACATTCCCTCAGGTCTCTAGGACTTTGCCAAAAACAATAAATCACAAACACATTTGATACAAAATTTGCCACTCCACCAATGACATTCATTTGTAACAGGGGACAGGTTAGTAAACAAGACACAAGCAACTGAAATAACTCTCCGTATTTATAACAGCAATTTCTACACTTAGCAATACTGTATAAATTATGCATGGTCGGGTTTCAACCAATGCACCAGCGCTAGAATACATTGACTAGACACACCTTATGAATACATTATGATTATGAACTGTGATCTCATATCAACTCCTGTGACTATGCAACAACTGATATGCCAATCAACAAAATGCAATGGGAGTCGACTGCATTACATGATTTAGTCATTATGCCGTGCAGTACGAGTAACGAATTAGGGTGAAAACCTAAACAATGTAAAGCTTGTAGTCCAGCGCCAAGCAAGTACAGTCCACGCTTCCACGGTACGGGCAAAGATCCTTCTTCAGTCAATGGCAGTTCCTGGTGCCGTCACCTCATCCACACAATGGTGCCCAAATTACGGAAAAAAGCCACAACCAAAATCAAACTAAACGTATGACAGATCCACGGGGACACGATTTTCGTCACCTTCCACGACCGGAATGCGTGCCCGGCTGTGATCGGGCCCCTTTTGCGATTCTGATGTCACCGAGAGCAAGGGAGCCTAACGACGGTGAAAGGCTCAAAAGGGGGCTGTCTAATTAAAACTAAAGGTGAAAGGCCGAATCGGATGCGGATCGGTGGGGCTAAAGGAGTGCGCGGTTGTGCAAAGGCGAATGGAGACGTGGCAGACATGACAATGTCAAAACATTCTCCACACAGCCAAGGAACCAGTCTCTCCACCTCTTAAAAAAAACGCTCTCCACACTACAATTACAGACAAATAAAAATAGAAACAAAATCATGAGCACTGCCTTATAACAAAAACATATGCAATCAGCTGCCATTGCAAGGGCAGTTGTTCATGACGAACGTGGAGATGTGTTTTTAAGATTTGTGCTTATTATGAATCATTGCCACGGTCTTGGTTTTTAAGAATGAAACACCACAACGCTCCTACAATCAACCCTTCGTGAATCGCGACTCCATACATTAAATTGGAAAAAGGGAAGGCTCAACTGGTTTCAGAATTTAAGAGGGATACAAATCTAACATAAGCTCAACAGCAGCACAAGCCCGCCTTCCTCCATCGATCCCCTCCCTTTCGAACGCACGTTACTGTACAACACAATAACCATAAGACGCACACTAATACACAAACACGGTCTTACACAAAGACACGCACACACATAAGATGCCCTCCACAAGGCTGTGTGAAACTGGCCACACGGTTTTCCTTCCCCGTGCAATTGTCGGCGAAAACGCCCCGGCATCTCCCCATCACCAACAATGGAGTAACATGTGAGAGCGAGACTCCGTCATCCCATATGTTTACGATCTATCTCTCTCACACACACACAGCTCATCCCCGCTAACCATCACAATACGGCGTCGTAGTCGTAATTAAAGCCGGCTACTAGTCGACGAGTAACAAGCAACGAGTCAACGTCTAATCGTTAAAATAAATATATATGTCCCAGCCGGTGGTAGTTGTTGTTAAGGGAGAGCAGCAATGGGGTAGCAGATATGTGGGAGAAGACCGCCCGGAGCCGGTCCCGCGGGCTCCCGGGCGGGGTCGGCCGGCAGGCCCCTCAGGCAAGCGGGTAGGCTTGTGAGGCCTAGACCGGGCCGGATGTCTCCTCTGCCATCCCTCCGCGCGTTCTCGGTCTCGCTCAGCAATCTCCCGAGTACTCTCCGCGACGATTTAAAGGAGGTTGCCACCCGTTTCCCTCGTCCTCACTCACTTGCGCCGAGCACGGACACCAGCTCGCCGCAGTTGTCACACATCGCGGCGGCGTTGTCGGCTCCAGCGGGGCTCGTGGTCGCTCGCGGTCCGTGGCGGCAGTTAGCAGCGGTAAAATATCACTAACGCCGCGCTACGATAACGGCGGCGATAGTCGCAACGGTAACGAGCAATAAATAAAACTACATAACGCGGTTATTACAATTAAAATTAAATGTGTCAAGTACTGTAATGCGGACAGCGGGGCGGAGCAGCGACTGGGCCACAGCGCGGCCGACTGATTTATTCAATATTAATTATTCATGTGAGAAACAAACTCCCCCTCTCCCCTCCCGCCGCGCATATTAATCATTAATATGAATGTAACGATCAATATTCATGAGGTTTGTTTGTTAATACTGTAGTTGTAGTGTTATTAGTTTTTGCTCGATGCTAATTATAATAAAAAATGTTAATTAGCCGCTGCGGCCGAGTCGCTTCATCATCATCATCATCGCCGCCGCCGCCGCCATTGTGAAAGTGGCGGCGTCCGTCTTCGGCCGCGCTCGGAGTCGCTCGGCAATCTTCGGCGGCGCTCGGCGGTCTTCGGAAGCTGCGCTCGGGCGGCGCTCGGCAATTTCCGGAAGAGGTGGGTGGGGGGGCTGCAGGAGGCGGGGGGGGTCAGTCGCCGCGCCGCATTGTGGGGAGAGGGAGCGCGGGGTCACCCAGGGGTCACGAGCGTGGTGGTGGTGGCGGCGGCGATGATGATGGAGGCACGCGTGGTGATGCGTGTGAGTGCTCGGCTCTTGGCGTCTTCTCGTTCGTACTCGTCGTTACTTATCTCGAGTCGGCGGTGTGCACGAGCTGTTGGCTGCTCCATGTCGCTTCGTGTTTTGCGTTGACACCGCCGGCTTGGAAAGGGAGGTGGGGGGGGGGCATCGTGTTCTTCTGCCACAGCGCGGAGGAGGCTCTCTCTGTGCATCTCCAGCCGGTCCCCGCGCTTGCTGCGCGGCGTTTGTGTGCAGCCTTCGGTTCTTCTCGGCAGGTTGATAAAGCAAAGTGCAGTTAGTGACACTTTGTGGGTTAAGTTACCACTGGTCCCCCCCCCCGCGTGCTAATGCGTAATTTCCGACGTTTGCTTCGTTGGAAAATGTTTGTGTCGTATTATCACTTCTACAGTAGTGGCCAAGTTTTGTTGTTAATTCGTGTGTCCACCCAGCAGTCGACGTGCTCGTCACAGACAATCGACAGGTTGCGTCTGGTGAGATAAAGCGTGGGGTTCTTCCAAAACACCTTCCATAACGTTTGGCTAACGTGCACGGTTAGGGAAAATGCTCTCAGGAGTTGAATCTTTCGAGCATCCTCCAACGGAGGCCGTTTCGCCATAAATTGCATGAGCAAGTCATCTATTTCAGGTTTGCACATTTACAGTGATCTTGCTTCTCACAAGATCACATGCGTGCCATTTATCGTCTTAAGATTGTTACAGTTTGGGACCCCTAATTTTGTTATTTGGTTAGCAATAAAGTACTTTCTTGCATATTCTTAGGTGTTTTTGGTAAAGTCACGTAGGTAAAACATCAAAATTAATAAAATAAAATAAAGATCACGACGTTTCGGAGGCAACACAAGTCTCCGTCATCAGGTGGGACAGTCACAGCCAGATTAGCTGCATCAAGTGAGGCAATGATTCAAGATGTAATCCCTTAAAAGCGAGTTGAGGGGGGAGGAGAGGGGGGGGGCTCATCAGAATGTGGTAGCCAATGAATGGAAAGTATCGGAAAGCGTGCTGTGGATTTACATTGGAAATATTTTACGGCAAGCAGTAATTAAAAAAAGCCTGTTAATGTGTAGTTATGAGTGCTTCACTCATTTACAGTGTAACTTTATTAATTGGATTGATCCAAGCGATGGGGTACAATATTTTACCATGTGTAAACTTTGCACAGCACAACAGCTATTGGTACATTATTTTTTTATACTGACCAACAATGACAGTTTTGAGATGCAAGGATGGTAACATCTGGTTATGGTTCCAGCAATAGCAGTGATTTCAAAAGTACCGGCTTTGCACCACCATTCTCAACGCAGGTAATTTTCAAATAAACTAAACTATATTTTTATTTTACTAGGTAAGACCCACTTTGGTATATAGCCCTTTTTCAAAAGTGACCCGGCCACAAATGATAGCTCAACGAATTGGTTTATAATGTGGTAATTTATAGCAGCCAATTTATCTAAATGCATGTTTCTAAATGTGGAGTGGACCCGGAAAAAAAAATCCACGCGTCCACAGGCAGAACACGCCAACTCCAAATCTACAGGCGCTCGGGTCAGGATTGAACCCACAACCTCATGCATAGGGGCCATCCATTTAGTACGTACGCATGGAGTGGGGAGGGGGGGTTAACCCAAATGCGTAGCTTGCATATGGGGAGGGGGGGGTCTACTGAAATGTACGTACGCATAGGAAACGGGGCGGGGGTTGAAGCCTCGATAGTAATTTGTCTACATTGGCCTTCAAATGAGTTAGATAGTCCGGCGGTGGACTATCTGTTTGCTTAAACACGTTAATATTATTAATCATTGATCGTTTCTGCGTGGATTAAATATCGGCCGTTCTATTGCACTAAATCTGAAACTTGGAAGCTTATTTCATTTAAAGGTTATAATTCCTTGGTCATTTTAACGTCCTTTTTACTTTGATGTCTCGACAGTGTTACGGAGACCGCGTGACGTGAGGGTTCTGCCTTTGTAGTGAGGGTTGTGAGTTGACGCCGAGGAGGGGGGAGGAGGCGCCTCGCCCCCCATGTGTGGTGACGTCACTCGCTAATTATTATTAATAGTGGGGGGGTGTCCATTTGGAGGACGTCACCTGTTCATGATTATTAATGGAGGGGGGGGGGGTTCTCCATGTGGAGTAACGCCACCCGCTCATGATTATTAATGAGGGGGAGGTTCTCCATGTGGAGTGACGTCACCTGTTCATGATTATTAATGAGGGGGGGGTTCTCCATTTGGAGTGACGTCACCTGTTCATGATTATTAATGAGGGGCGGGTCCATGTGGAGGACGTCACCTGTTCATGATTATTAATGAGGGGGGCTGGTCGACGTTGAGTGACGTCAAGCGCGTTACACACTGGTGTAGTAAATTCGGGGGTGGGGTGCGTCAAGCGTACGTGAGCAGGTGGGGGGGGGGTGTAACAAGTCCGCGTGCGTACAGGGAGATTGGGAGGGGTCAAGTTTTGACAGAGTTTTGCATGCCTACGAAATTGATGGCCACATACCAGGCGAGGGAGATAGCTTCTCGCAACTGCGGGGTCACGCCTGGTCTCGGGTTAAACACAATAAGCAAATCCTCCAAGGTTCAATTGTCCTCATTCTAATCAACAATTGAAATGTATGTAAGGTGCATATGACCACAATTACAAGTCAATAGCATGTATATTTTGTGGGCTTGCAAAGCGTTTCGATATCACCGAGTCCAAGACAAGAGGTAAAATAATCTCGTTACTTTACCGAGCAAACAAAATGTAATTACCTGTCTTTATGGATCAGGTGCATGGATGGAGGCTGGTGTGCACAGGACCAGGTGCCAGGTGGGTACACAGCAGCAACCCTAAGGAGCAATGGAAAACGAAGATACAGGACTACTACAATCGCTTCTCTGATGTGGAATTTCTGGTCAACTCCGTTTATTTTTTGCGTCGTTGGCGTCTCCAATCACAAAACAAGTGCGAGCTCATCACTGCACATGACATTTTTACGTTAAATATTTTTTAGTAGTTTATAGTAGCACGCTTATTCTGTATAAACACAAAACCAATACTTGTTGTTAAATACAATTGCATTAGTCCAACACGAAACGAAATGCTACGCATGGCGCTGTGAGCAGTGTTTATTTTGTAAATGAAATTGGTACCGAAAATATTTTCAGCAGTGCTTTTAATAATGTTGGCAACATGACTGAGTGGATGAAAATTATTAACCATGAAGATAACTGGCCACCTACCAAAGATCAAAGCAGTTTAAACGTCGGTGCAGTCTCAAGTAAGTGAATACAGTAATGTTATTAGAGATGATTGCACTGAAGAAAAAACATGGTAATTGACTATGCTAAACGATATACTGAGTTCACTGAACTAATATTTGGGAGGGGATAAAAAAAATTGTGCACACTCTACACCAACATGTAACAAATCAAGAGTGGACAACTTGTTAATGTTTTAGTCGAGATTAAGAGAACGATGGAAGATAGATCCACAGACTTATTTTACTAGAATACCACAGGTTGTGAAATATATTGAAGATAATCTTGATTTTAAGCTTTCGTGACTGCAGGAATCCATTCGCCTTTGGTTCTTTCAGTAAAGTCACGTAGTTCATGTCACCCTGATGACGGCCGCTTGTGTTGCGATCGAAACGTCGTGATTTGTTTTATTTTATTTCTATCTACGTGACTTTACCGAAAGAACCAGACAAATCAAGAATTCTGACCAAATTAACACTGCTGCCAGGCTGTTGGCTATATTCCTCCACTATTTGGCTTCTGGTTCAACGGTGTATTTGGTAATGTCACCCACTCGGTAACACGCTGCTAAAAGGGTAATTAAAAAAATGTATTCTGGGTGCCTAATGTGCAAGTTTTTACATTTCACTTTATTTGCAATAGAAATTTTGAATTTACGAAGAAAAGGCACGGAAAGAATGTGGCAGCTGCACATTTCATCCTCTCCAGAGGAGGAGGTGTAAGGTAATGTGCCACGACATGAGCATAATAAAAACCAGACATACTTTAAATCGCTGTACAGTTTTTCTGTTAACAGATGCAATGGATGAAACAATGAAAATACAAGCTAAAATACAATATTGTACAGTAATAGTATGTAGAAATTGGTTTAAGTAGCAGTAATACCAATTTTTCCAGTGTACATTGTGATTGACTGGAGGAAATCTCACTGCAGATTTGCAGGGCAAGAGGAATGGTACAGGGCTAAGAAGGGAAAGTTCAGCTGGGACTTTTTGAAGCATGTTGATGTGAATTTGGAAGAGGTGGATGCCAGTGGACTTCCAATCAACTACGATGGATTTGATAACTTGGGTATGATCTTTATTTTATCCACTTATGCAACATTTTTGTGCTTGCACGCAATTCTTGTAAACATGTATTATGTAACATGTTTATATATATATATAAAAAATGGTAATCACTTGCAATGTTCTACTTCTAATAACACATTTTATATTAGGATGTTCTTCAGAGCACAGGTGGTATGCTAGCATAAAATAAGCATAAAATGCAAACCTTTAGACGGTAAACTGCAGCCCAGCACGTTTGACACTTTTTTTCCAAAAACTACAGAGCAGATGGAGCAGCTGAAGGCATTGTATTTGCGGAACTGCCCAAACGTGGATGACTGGTGTCTCAACCGGTTGCATATGTTCCGTGAGAGCCTTGAGGAGCTGCACCTCACAGGCTGCCCACTGATAACAGACCGTGGGCTCGCCTCACTCCACAACCTCACGTGAGGGTCTACCACACGCAAGGAGACACTTTTTCACGAGTTTAGATATATTTTAAATATCGAGAGTTTGGGCGCCTGTTGACAATTTGTATGGTCATTCCACAGGAACCTGAAGTACCTGGAGTTGTCGCACCTGCCACTGGTATCCCACAAGGGCCTCGTCAAGATACTGGTGGATGAGATGCTGCCCAACACCACAGTCATCATGGAAGATGCACCGAGTTTGAACGAGGAGACATTACATGAGCAAACTTGAAAATACTTGGAATAGCTTTCAAATGGAGTGCTTGGCCAATTTTATAATTGATCTGTGAGCAATTATATTTTGTGCCAGTGGAGTCATTAATAATTATTGCTAAAGGCTTGACTCATCATTGAAGTTGGTAGTATACTGAAAAGTTCCTAAATTAGTAACAAATAAAAGTTTGATACAATGTATTTTAGAGTCCATTGAGTTTTTACCAATTGCACATGAGAATACAATTTGTTGATTACATAGCATCCTGGTTACACCAGCCTACAGGGGATTATTCTGTCCATCCGTCGTGCATCCAAAAATGGGAGGGGTGGGGCTGTGTGGAGAGGGGAGGGGCTGGGTGGGGTGGGGCTGGGTGGGGAGGGGCTGGTCACCCCGTGGTGCCCTTATAAAACTCAACGTTTAACCTACCTCTCGCCGGCTTGTGCCCGCCCTCAGTCGGCCATATTTGCGGAATACACCACGCCGCCGTTGACTCTGGCCCTTGACTGAGCAACCCAACGTTCCTACCAGCTCCCTCCGCAGGAATGTGTTTTTATAACAGCCCAATCGTTCAGATGAAAATGGGAATTCTTTCTATGAAAAGGATAAACTATTACTCCGTCCCCGTCAAAAACGATTGATTTAAAAATTCAATCAACACAGCAATGAAATGAAGCATTTTAATCAAATGTAGCATATGTAATTGATGGAAACTGATTTCTAATGTCAGTTCTAAGTCTTTAAAAACCTTATAAAACATGACTGTACAATGTTGATGCAATGTTTGTCAAAAGTTGTATATTAACAATAAATCCAAACAGTTCAGGTGATGTTGAGAAATCAGACATTTTTCTTAATGACAGTATGTAACAATAACCAGTTGTAGTTTTTACATTTAAAATAATTTGTATGTAAAACTAATTTAAAGAGCTTATGTTTTGTGATATGCTTCAGCCTGTAAGAGGGACACGTTTAGACGCAATCTGACAAGTTTCTACTTTTATTAATCCCATAAATGGGATATACCAGATTTTACATATCAGCACTCCAATTAAAGAATGCTGCCCAACCACGTTCAAACCAAGTTGCAACACATTTTTAAAATGTCAAAACAATTATCCGTATACAACAGAAAATGCAAGCCAACATACTGAGGTTGCAACCATTGATTAAAAAAGCACAACTGCATTCATGTGTTCGCGCTACACACAGCCCTCCCACGCCTGACTCATTCAAATACTGAAAATGCGTGGCCTAGCTGAGAAATAAACTTACAGTACTACATTACACATTACATTCAAAACTACATTCCATACATATCTCCAGATGTAAAAAAGGGGCCAAATAAATAATATCTACTTACGTGATATAGAGCATATATGTCATGAGTACCACGGCAAATCACAATAAATGTACTTTTAATGAGTAAGAGCAATGGTCATACTCTGCATGGCATGTCAAGCAGTGCAGGGGTTCACATCTCAACTGCTATCCAAATTAAAGGGGGCAAGTATTCTAAAGCCAGGCTAGCGAGGAAGGCATTTTATGCACTGCAAATGGTTTGCACTGCTAGTATGGAAACAATTGGAAAAAGACCAACATTCACCTGTGTTAAAGCTAGTGCCAAGGGTAGGTACAAACCAATCAAGTGTTCAGTTTTGCTTCCAGTTAACCAAAGGATACTTTGGTGAATACCAACTGTGAATACCAAAAAGGTAGTTGGCCGATGGTTGACATTATTTTGAAAACTTAATACAATTCAGTACTTTTATATTAGTTGCACAGTATTTAGGTTGAAAACGAGGGACACAACATTGAATACAATGCTTTACTCAGGTGAAGGGATGTCTATAAATGGCTCAATTGAATATGGCATTTTCGGTCCCTGCATGCGACAACACCATGCTCATATCTCACCATCTTTGGAGACCCCCTGAAGTAGTGTTACACAGCTGTGTATGGTGGTGACAAACCACGCAGTTTTGCTGTAGTACAGTAAATGCAGCCCTTATCATTTACAGTAAGCAAGTTGTATGAAAGAAAACAGCCTAGATAAAGGGAAAAAATAACAGTTATTAAATAATAAACAAATGGTAACAAAAGGAACCTCGGTAAAACTGCCTTGACACCATCAAGGGAATGGAGATTTATACAGATGGCCAAAGATAACACCAAATGGAAAAATACCCATTCATGATCTGGACAAAAAGATATTGCAGTGGACATGAATCTGCAATGAAGAATGAAACAGTTTTGTAGGAGCTATAAGTCAAACTTATGCATTTCACGATCTACTATTCAAATGCTCAAATTTAGATGAGCATAAGCAATATAGCAGTTTTCTTCGCATCTAGCTGTCAAAACCAGGTTTTAAATCTCAGTGCAATTATCTGAAACATTGATTTCACACTGTCTATACAACAATCATAACGAGTTCAATACCAAAACTAGTGCTAATGTGCACGTGTACAAGTGGGATTGTTAATCAGATATTAAGGAAAGGCTGTTGTGATACCCACAAGGTCTGCTGAAGCATAATTGAGATAATTTTATTTACGAAGTTTCAGAAACATTTTCTATATATTACATAAATCATTGGTCTTGGTGAATTTTATTTCCAAATATTCCAATGTTATTCTTCTGCCTTCCAATGTATTACCTCCAGTAAAATAAAACCGATCAAATGGAACATCTGCACATTTTATATTGGCATGTGCGGGCTATGGGAGATGGTGAGAATTGGGAACCAACAGTTAACTTTTTCAAACACAAAATTCAAAAAGGTATAAAAAAAACTATTTCCAGCATCAGCACTGGCATCTCCCATTTGTTCTGAAGGCAGGCACTTGGAGGGAACGCCCCCGGTTGGGTTGGTCGGCACTGGAGTCTAACACCTGCTGCTGTTTGAGATTTTGGGTGTGATTTGACTCAATGGGCCCGATGAGGTGGACAGAGTCAGTCACACATCTCCTCAGGCATCTCATGGGGGTTGAGGATCCCAGGAACTGACAGTTGGATCTTCCTCTTTTCATCATTGGCCTGACGCAGGGACTGCTCACGCTCTTCCAGGTAAAGGTCTGACGTGTCCTCCCCTGCAAATTCCTGTCAACAAATAAAAAGATAGCAGCAACATAAGAGATATTACAAACAGTCTTGTTTAGTACTCTGTACAGATCTTGCCACCAACTATTCCTCAGCCAATAATAAGCATGACCATTTCTAAAGTTTTAAATTGTTCACTTTGAAATGATGCCACCTAAACAAAGGTCATGTTATATACCATATTTGAAAAAAGTTTTGCTGGCTGGCATGTGGCCAAGTGTGTCTGTGTGCAGTGATGATATCACCCATATCCCACAACGTTGAATCAAGTTCGTGCGCACTCACGTTATGCAAATGCACGGGATATGCGATTATACAACGGATGCATATTAAAATAAATAGTTAACAAGTGATTAAAAACATAAGCATACCTTTATCTGTACCAAAAAGTCTCTCAGATGCTCTTTAAATGCTGGGATGTCTTGATTTAGGCTAAAGAGCCCGGTTACGAAGACCTTTACTTGTGCACTGAGGGATAGAGGAACAGAAGTATCAGAGACCAAATGCACATCAGATACATCTTGACGAAATATAAGTATAACCCGTAAAAACAAAGTTTTTCACTATAAACCCTTTATATGCGTGGCGGCTAGAGTCTTCTCGTCCTCTGGCTTGAGATGGCTGCCACCTATGGGTCAGATGATTCTCTGACAGTATTAAGCAATTGGTAATTAAATATTTTATTTGTTTTCCCTAAACAGTGTAAAATTTTTGAAAAAAAAATTTCACGAACATTAATTGTCTCGCACAACGAGTCTGTGTGCAAAATGTCAGCTCGATTGGATCACGGGAAGTGGGTTAAAAAACGACCGAAAGGTTTGCACGGTCGTAAGCAAGCAAGCACGCAAGCAAGTGAACTTAATATAAAGGATTTAAAAAGTGAGCTTGCGGTGGACATAATCAAAAGAAAGCACCATGGCTGGTGGATGAGACTGGAAACTTAGTGGCAGCCAAAGGAGAGAACAAGCCTGAGAGGGCAACCACTGTGGAAAAGCAGCGATGAGATCAGTTCATAAAAGCACAGGATGATGAAGGATGGTGACACTAAGGGGAAGCCTGCATCCAACAGCGGACAGTTCATGGCTCATGACGATTACTTTATCTATACATTTAGATTATTGACGCAACTATGAATTTAATATACATTTAAGTAAACGCTCCACAAACCATTTGATAATCTTACATGCTCTTTTTTACACAAGCATGTAATCATTTGGCAAAGGTTAATAAAAATACATAGGGAGGGTAAATCCACAATACTCACTCCTGCAAGTGTGGGAAGGCAGACTTCAGGAGGTTGGCGACATACTCCTGGATAAACGGCTGATTTGAGATCGCTGGGCTCGTAGGGTTAAGTGGTGCCGTTATCCGATTCTCCTCCACCAGACTGAACATGTTGGCCAGGATGGTGGCATGCATCGTCAGGCCTGTATCACCACAGTTTAAAAAAGCATCCCATATTTGCATGCATTATAGCACAAAAAACTAAAAGATGTCTAGTTATGCAATAATTGTACAATATATGTTAAAGATTAACGATATCATGGGAAAAAATGTGGGTAACATCCACAAGTGCTTCGAGTCTTGGTGGTGACGTTTCCTTTGAGGACCGAGATTTTCGAAGACGAGTGGACAATTTGTCATTTTAAAGCTCTACATTTGCACTCGGTAAATTAAAGTTGCTGTATTAAACGATTTAGATCAATTATAGGGTACAAGGAGCTGACTTATATACTTTCTTTTGCTCTTCAGCACCACTGTACATTCTTGATTTGAAGCTTTCGTAACTGCAGGAATCCATACTCCCCTCCCTATCGGGTCAATATAATGCCTCGTCCACAGCAGTCTGATTCTCTCACCTGAAGACGGTCGCTTGTTGTTGCGATCGAAACATTGTGATCTATATACTTTTCTACCTACGTGACTTTACCGAAAGAACCAAAGAGTATGGACCACTGCACATGTCCAAAATGTTGAGAAAAAAAGTTGACCAAAACTTTTCTTTTAATCATGTCTAGATGGGAGTTCACGCCATCAACATTAACATTTAAGTCCGCAACTATGCAGCTGAATTATGATAATTTTACAGAGCCAGTATTTTCGTTTTCCCCCCAGTTTTATCCCAACCACTATCGTCATCGTGTCACGAGACCAATAATCAATTTATAACTCTCGCAGAGCATTGCATCACCCAATGCTATAAAATGGTCTGTGGAAGATGATATCCCAGAACAGTTTTTTAAATGTCACGTAACCTGTGATCCACCTGCTCCGCTATAGGGAGAAATGTTCCGCTTGACATATTTGTAATTCTCTTATATGCAGCGAGCCCGGATTTTTTATGTCAACATTTTTTTGTAAACTCACTGGTGAGTGGGCTGAGATTATCAACTCCCTACACTTGAAACAAAGTTTACTCACTAGGTTCCATTTTAATCTGGGGCCAGATCTAACCTCTGAACCACCAGACCACCTCTTAATGAGCTTCTTCTGGTCTGTTTATAAGTTATATTGGGGAAAGGCTAAATTGTGCATACAGTTAATCATATATCTGTACTGTTTTTATCACTGTTAAGGTGATATACAAATTTTTTACTGTACCACACAACAGATATATATATTTTTTTATTCTAACAGGTGTGAGTTTAAGTTGTGAATGTAGCCCTGTACCCGCAGTGTGCGAGGTGTCTGTCACCACTGAGAAAATGTGCTGCAGGATGTCACAGAAG